GATCTCCCATCTGCTGGTTCACTCCCCCAAATTCCTGCAACAGCCTCCTGGCCTGGGTCTGGCTAACACCCAGAACTGTCAAATCAATGCTCATCTCCTCCAAGGGTGGCGGAGACCCAAGTATCTGAGCCATCAACGGCTGCATCCCAGGGTGCGCGTTAACAGGAAGCTGTTACTGGGGGCAGAGCCAGGACCTGAACCCAGGCCCTCTGATATGGGATGTGGGTATCCCAAATGCCTGCAGTGTCCCCAGAGAGGGAAAGCCTAGAGGGAGGGAAGCCAGCCCACGCAGACAGGTGGGCGCAGCTTCGCTGTAGACTTCGCAAGGTGCGTGTCCACTCGGCACACAGGCAGGGTGGGCACCCACAGACACAGGTGCTGCTGGCTAATGTGCTTGAAATGGTGTGGTCCAAAGTAGGGACAGAGCGGGCGCTGGGATCAGCCAGGCCAAAAAGCAAGGGTTTGCTGACTACGTAGGGGCAGACAGACTGGGGACCACGCGGCAGCCACTCCCGCGAGTGCAGAAGGGAGGAGAAGTTAATGCAGGAGTGAGCAGAACCACAAAGCTGATTACCCAGTGTTAGCAAGCACGTACGCCCAGGAACACACAGGAAGCATGGCATCTTGGGAGGTGGGGTGAGAGCTGGGCTGAAATCAGGAGGTTTGGTTTACGTCTGCGAGAAGCAAGATTCCCCAGAGAGCAACCACTCATCAGTAAAAAAATATTTTCTCTCATTTGTGTAGCTAAAAGCCGTGGTTTTTGAAAGGGCTCACGGAGTGCCTGGCACAAATCCACACCAAAGCTCACCATGAAGTCCAGAGCATCAGTGATAAAGAGACTGACAAGCTTCCGGAAAGAAACAGGCCCAGAGAGTCAGAGAGCAGAGAGCAGAGCCTGGGCAGAGAGGATGAGTAAGTGAACCAGCAGAATTCAGTCGAAACTGAATTAGGAGCATGTTTTACAATTCTGTTGGCAAGCTTTACCGACAATGATTTTATTTGTAATGGTAAAACATTGTGCAAGTTTTTAAAAAATGGAATCTGTTAACTTCAGGAAGAACCAAAGCTGAAAAATCAAGGAAACGTAATCTTGGCGCAGCAGCTGGCTCAGCCGCGAGGAACAGGTCAGATCAGGTCGGCCCTGCTGGCTGCACCAGCAGCTGTGCTCTCCCCACACTGAGAGCCCGAGGAAGGGAAGTGGGGACACCAGCGCCAAATCCTTCACTTTTCTCGACAGAAAGCTGGTAATGTTTAAAGGAGAAAAAGGCAATTATAAGCGTAAGATTCTGAAACAGACTAATATGAAGGAGCTTCCAAACTCTGTAGAAAAACAAAGTTGAAAAGTTTATGATGATAGCCGGCGCCGTGGCTCACTAGGCTAATCCTCCGCCTTGCGGCGCCGGCACCCTGGGTTCTAGTCCCATTCAAGGCGCCGGATTCTGTCCCAGTTCCCCTCTTCCAGGCCAGCTCTCTGCTGTGGCCAGGGAGTGCAGTGGAGGATGGCCCAAGTCCTTGGGCCCTGCACCCCATGAGAGACCAGGATAAGTACCTGGCTCCTGCCATCAGATCAGCGCGGTGCGCTGGCTGCAGCACGCTGGCCGCGGCAGCCATTGGAGGGTGAACCAACGGCAAAGGAAGACCTTTCTCTCTGTCTCTCTCTCTCACTGTCCACCCTGCCTGTCAAAAAAAAAAATAAAAAAAAGTTTATGATGATGCAACTTTGCTGAAATTCGTGTATATGAGATGTCTTCAAAAGATTCAGAAAATATGTATTAGGAAAAACTATGCATGGATTTTAAAATTTTTTCTACCAACATAAATTTAATCTCATTTCCATGAACTTTTTGTACCCTTGTATTTTAAAAATGCATGTTTGCTTTACACTTTCATACATAAATCCATTTGGATGGTTTTCCTAGGACAGAGGAACTCCTTTTCCCTAGAGGTATATGGACAGCAAGGAAAACCAGCTTGCAGCTGACAGTATGTGTGTGTGTGTATATATGTCTATATGTTTTATATATATATATAAAATTTTATTTTTATTTTTTTCCTATCCATTGAGGTTTCAGAAGTCACAGGTTCAGCATTTCACCTGGGCAGCCTAGAGCCCGTCACCAGGTGAAGCCCCTGGGCTCTGTCTGGTGTGATATGTGCGACTGTGCTGGGTGAGCTTTGCCACCTGGTGAGGGACAAGGAAGGCCGTCTGTATTAGCCACAGGGATATCTGGCAGGAAGAGGCGTTTTCAGCCCAGATGTTACCAAACTTGGTATCTTTTGTAACTCTTCACCATAAAACATTTCTGAACATACACAAAAGCAAACCTTATTATAAAGAACCCCTACACGCTCAGCACCCAACTTCAACAATGATCAACTCCTAACAAGCCTTTTTTGACGTCCCCTCCCACACCGCCATTATCAAAGACGTGATTTACTGGCACATTTGCAACAGCACAGGAAAAGTTCCCCACGGGGAGGTTTTAGGACATGGCCTTTCCGTTAGCCAGTCAATGAAGTAAAGGCTGTATCTGCATTGGTCTTCATTACCTGCAGCATCTTTGTGGCCTGGGATGAATTCATGGAAACGGAACTTCAGAGATTACGTAAACAAGCAGGAAAAGAGCTCAATTTTCTTTTTCTCTTTCTCTTTTTTTTTTTTTTTTGACAGGCAGAGTGGACAGTGAGGGAGAGAGACAGAGCGAGAGAAAGAAAGAAAGGTCTTCCTTTTCTGTTGGTTCACCCTTCAATGGCCGCCGCGGCTGGTGCACCGCCCTGATCCGATGGCAGGAGCCAGGTGCTTCTCCTGGTCTCCCATGGGGTGCAGGGCCCAAGCACTTGGGCCATCCTCCACTGCACTCCCTGGCCACAGCAGAGAGCTGGCCTGGAAGAGGGGCAACTGGGACAGAATCCGGCGCCCCGACTGGGACTAGAACCCAGTGTGCCAGCGCCGTAGGCGGAAGATTAGCCTAGTGAGCCGCGGCGCCGGCCTAAGAGCTCAATTTTCAACAGGTAAAATGCTCAGCATCACTCAGGAACCCAGTTGGGTCCTGAGTTCGTTCACTGCCCATCCCCCTGGGTAAAGCCAGTCCTCACAATGGCTACTCCACCCTGTGCCATCTGCCTCCTCATTGCCTAGAACCTTCCCAGCCCGCTCTCTAGCCATCCTTGCCTTTCTGCAAACCCACCAAGCTACAAGGGCTCTCAGGCCTCAAGGCCTTTGCATCAGCTGCGTCCTTCTGCCTGGCTGCTCTTCCCCGGGTACCGTGCCTCGCTCATTTCCTCCAGGTCTGTGTCCAAAGAGCACCTAACGGGAGGCCTTCCCAGCCCACCTCCCACAGCCTTCCCGTGGTCCTCCGGTCACAGGTCACGCCCTTACCCTCACTGCTTTGGTTTGTTATCTGCAAACCTCAGATCAGGGCTCTCTCTGGCTTCCTTTCCTGCCGCATCCCCGACATCTAGAGCAACAGCAGACACTAATGGTGGTGCACGTCTACAGAAATTAGCATGTATTTTTCCAAGCACTTGAAAATATTGCCTTATTTAATCCTCCTAACAACCACCCAGTAAGCACTGTTGTTATCATTTTCCAAATGAAAAACTGCTGAGTGGGAGTAACCTGCCCAAGGTCACACATCTAGAAAGTGACAGACCCAGGCACTGTAAAAAGGTGAGGGTTAATCCTAGGAGTATAAAGAAAACTGAAAATAGATCTTTGTCAAAAGTAAGCATGGGAACAGGAGAGGGAGCAGGAAGAAGGGTGGGAAGTGTCACTATGTCCCTGACTCCGTACACAGGACAAACATGAAATGTGTGTACCTTAAATAACACTTTTAAAAAAGGCTTATTCAGGGTAGATGATGAGTGACCTGGGCCCTAGAGACACGAGCCCAGCGATGCGTCTTGGCGCTCACACTCATGACACTGACTTTTCATTCGTCTTTACGGGCAGACTGCCTACACTTGGAGATCACTGCCCGTAGAACGCGACTGCTCACAAACACTGGCTCTGAACTGAAGCTGCGGAGACGGCATTGGCTGCGGAGTGACCCCAGGGAGGGCACTTCAGGGAAGAGATAAGAACAAGGGCGTGGCTACTCCGCGGCTAAGATGAAACAGATCTTGCGTGAACATCACGAGGGCAAACTGCCCTGGTGGTCGCTCCTCGGGTCGGCAGGTGTTTCCCTCGGATACATCGCAGACTTGTTAGAGGCATTCGAGTTTTCGAGGCTATGATGTCTTCCGCATAAACACGTGGACAGCACTTAATAAACATTCCCAGAATAAGCTGCACGTTGGCTTTTAGAAGCATCCACGCCCCAGAGCGCAACGATAGCCTGGAGCCACCGGATTCCGAATACCGCAGGCACTGCCCGTAAGAGTGCAGAGCCATCGCATCCTTTTCGGAACACAGAGCCGCGGGCGTCTCCCAGGCTGGGAGCTCGGGTCCCCGTCCCAGTGCAGCCCGCGCTCAGAGGAGATGGCCCTGCAAGCAGGCTGTGAAGTCGGCCTCACGAGCAAAACCCATCGACAGCAAAGAGGCCAGCGTTCCCACCGGAGAAACCGCCGCGGGTCTCCGGGCCGCAGCTCGGCCTTCCCGCTGGGCCCCCGGACCCCACGCAGCCCCCGGCGGCTTGGGCGATCCGTATAGGGTGCGCGTGACGCGTCCCGAGGAACCGCTCGGCCGCATCTCCAACCGCCGCGTTCGCCGGTCCAGTCCGAACGGACACGTTCAAGAACAGCATGACGGCCCTCCGGTTCCCGCGTCCAGGGCTTCGGGCTGGGAACACCGCGGAGGCAAGCGTCGGGAACCGGTGCTTCCGGCCGCTCCTCTCATGGCCAAAGCCCGCGGGCTACGTGGACGCTGACCCTGCCTGGACCTGCAGGCGCCCGGCCCCGCCGGAACGCACCCAGTCCTCCGCGGTCCCACGCTCCTTTGCGCCAAGGCCACGTCCGGCGGCTCTGTGCGGCCCTTCTGCACCGCGGCGGCGCGTCTCTATGGTCCACGGCCGCTTCCAGAGCGAGTGTCATGGCGGCCGGCGTCGAGTTGGCAGGAGTTGCCCACGGACCTGGGGAAAGTCACTAAAGCAAAGGAAGAAGCGGCCCGACTCGGACGGCGGGGAGTCGTGGGGATGAGCGGAGGCTCCTCGGGGTGACTGTGTCACGAGGGCCGGGCCTGCGCGTCCCCGGGCGGTTGGTGGGAGCCCCCGAGCCAGCGTTGCCTGGGAACCCCGCATTGTGCGGTCACGTCCTGAGCTCAGAGTTCTGGCCCAGTCGCGCGGAGGCCGCGGCCGGAGGACGCTTGGCGGCGCCGCCTGCCCCGCGTTGCGCGCTTGTTTTCGGAGCGGACCGAGTCGGCGTCTCAGCCCGCAGCGATGTCGTCCTGGCTCGGGGGCCTCGGCTCCGGCCTGGGCCAGTCCCTGGGTCAGGTAGGGGGCAGCCTGGCGTCCCTCACGGGCCAGATCTCCAACTTTACCAAGGACATGCTGCTGGAAGGCGCGGAGGAAGTGGAAGGTAACAGCTGGAGCGAGCGAGGGAGGGAGGGCTCGCCGGGACCCCGCGGACGCGCGTTTGGTTGCCACCGGCGTCCGTCAGGGGACGCGGCGCCACCCCGCCCTTGCGCTGCACACTCCTCCTCCCCGGGGTCCTGGGGGCGGCCAGGCCCTGCTCCGCGTGCGGACCCTGGTGCGGCTCGGCGCACCTGCGCCCACCGCTTGCTTAGCCCTCATCTGGGCCGGGCCCGATGGTGGTCGTCTAACTGACCACAGGGCCAGTGGCCGCCTCGTTTGGGCGTTTGCTTTGCTGGTCTGTTTGGGTGACAGCTGAAACGACTCCGTGACGCTGGCGACTCTTGCCCTCGGAGGCCCGGGTGTGTGTCTGCTACTGCGTTTTCGGCCTGCTTGGCCGCCCCTTTCTGGGGCACCGCGGCAGGACAGGGGAGAGCCCCCTTCTCTGGGTGGCCTTAGCCCCGTCGCTCGTGGTTGAAGTCCTCTTGTTTTCCCGGTGACGTGGGGACCAGAGGTGAAGTCAGCTGCCAGCTTGGTGTCTTGGCGTGTCCGTTCTGCAGGACCCTCTTGGAGCAGGGGCTCTTCAGTTTCAGTCCAGGGCGGAAGGGGTCCGGTTTATGTTTTGGATGAGAGCGTTTCCTTTGAGACGGGTTTGTTTTCTGTGAATTAACGCTCTGGTTTAGGTCTTTTAAAAATCCCGATTTAACGGAGACCCGATAGGCATTTGAAGCGGAGGCTGCCTCTGTCTAGATTTCCCGCGGTGTCTCTTGTAGTGCCGAGACGGTGGAGCCGCTGAACTCTGCCTTGCTGCTCGGGGCGCCTGCGGGTGGGAAGTGCGGCCGGGCCAGGCTTGGGCCTGGAGTGGACTTCCGTGTGTGCCCAGCAAAGTGTCACGGGCCCTGGAGGCAGGCGGAGAGGGCTGAGTGCCTCTGGCTAGGCATGGCCAGGAAGCAGCTTGCTAGCATCCCTCAGCCAGGGTGTGTGTGTTTGAGGTGGAATTCATTCCGTTCCCTGCCCTGTGTGCTGTGTTCTCCGATCAGCGGTCTCACCGTCCACCCAGTTCCCCGAGTTAGGAATCTCTCCGTCTCCTCCTGCCCGGTGGTCACCAGGTCTTCTGTATCCCAGGTCAGAACTGGCCTTCCCCGTCCACCCTTCCTCTTGGGGTCAGATCCCGAAATCTCTCCCGGGACTGTTTCTCTCATGTTCCATTATCTGTTGTATTGCCAATGACTCTTTCAAAAAAGAAATTGGCATACAAGTAATACTTGCAGATTCCAAAACTCTTAGTTTTTCATGGCCACGGACTTGCCTTGTCTGGGGTCAACTACTGTGTCTAGTCCGGTCCACCACTGGTCACAGGTGCACACATGCTGGGCCCGGAGCTGCCGCCACTCGGAGCCCGGTCAGGTACCTGTGGGATTCCAGGCCTCTGCCCCGAAGGCTCTTCCTTCTCTGTGTCCTTCCTCACCCTCCACTACCTGGAAAACAGTTTCCCTGTGCAACCTGCCCGGCCGTTCTGACTCCCGGCAGGCTGACCGCCGGTGCTCTGTGTTCTGACAACTTTGTGCATCTCTCCCTGAGGCACTTGCCATGTTAATTTCTAATTGATCTTTCCTGGAGGCCCAGGGTGGGCGTGCTTTTTGGTCCTTACATTATCAGTGTGTGGCAACTTTGTGGTGGATAGTAGATACTCAATAAAAATGATGTGAGTGAGTGATTCAAATTCTGTCCTGGCTTGATGCTTTTATTTTTGTTTTATGTTACGCTAGGACTTCCTTAATACCTCACTTATTGTTTTTGTGTATTACTTAAAAGTGGGATCTGAGTGCAGTTCATTTAGTCATTCAACAAGCATTTGTTGTTTACCCTGTACCAGCAGTGGACAAGACAACAGTTCCAAAATAACACTGCTGGTGCACCTTGAAGGCTGGTGTTGGCGTAGTGGGGCAAGCCTCCGCCTGCAATGCTGGCATCCCTTATGGGCGCCAGTTCAAAACCAACCACGTTTTCAGTATTAAAAAGTTGTTCTACCATTCTGTTGATTTAGCCAAGATTGGAACTTTGGGCTTTTAAATGACGAAGATGGGTTGGAATTCCATTTCTGGTACTGGTGCTGTGGCTCAGCGGGGTAAGCCGCCTTCTGTGGTACCAGCATCCTTTGTGGGTGCCAGTTTGTTTCCCCACTACTCCACTCCAGCTCCCTGCTAATGTGCCTGGGAAAGCAGCAGAGGATACCTTGGGCCCTGCACCCACATAGGAGACCCCGATGAAGCTCTTGGCTCCTGACTTGGGTCTGGCCTGGCCTGGTCTTGGTTATTGTGGCCATTTGGGGAGTGAACCAGCGGATGGTCGATCAGTCTGTCTCTGTCTCTCCCTATCTCTGTAATTCTGACTTTCAAATAAATCTTTCTTTAAAAAAAATCCCATTTCTGTGCATTATAAATTGTGCTGTCTTTGGCAAATGTTTAAATACTTAAGCTCTAAAAAGCAGTTTCTGTGTCTGGTAAACAGGGGTCATCCCATCTATCGAACACACACGTACACACACGCACACACACTTAACCATTCATCCACTGATGAATATCGTGAGGTTGTGAGAGAATTAAATGGGAGAGTAAGTGTGAAACGCCTACAGCTGTGCCTGACAGATAGTGCTTGTCAGCGGATGGTAGCGCTTCTGTTTTCCCGCACTGAGGAAGTCAGCATTTTGTCGTCTGCGTGGCACTGCGCCTGTGCTTACGAAGGCTGGGGTTTGTGGAGGAGGGGAGGGACCAGGGTAGATGGGGATCTGCATAAACCTTTTAAGTTGCTCTTTGAAAGAATTGCTGCTTTGAACAGTTCCCTTCCAAGCAGACTGGATTCCACTTTGTCCTCTTCAGAGTAGCAATAAGACCTTTCGCTGTTTAAAGAGAGATGTAAGAACCACAGAAGCAGCCCTACCTGGTAATTTTCAAAACAAGAAATGTGAGTCGCTGTAATTTGTTACATGTAGTGTGTATTTTTTTCTTCCTTTTTTTTTTTTATTTGACAGAGTTAGATGGTGGGAGGTAGAGACAGAAAGGTCTTCCTTCCATTGGTTCACCCCCAAAATGGCCACCACGGCTGGAGCTGCGCCGATCCAAAGCCAGGAGTCAGGTGCTTTCTCCCGGTCTCCAATGCAGGTGTAGGGGCCCAAGCACTTGGGCCATCCTCCACTGCCCTCCCGGGCCACAGCAGAGAGCTATACTGGAAGAGGAGCAGTCGGGACTAGAATCCGGCGCCCATATGGGATGCCGGCGCCGCAGGCAGAGGATTAACCTAGTGTGCCACAGCGCTGGCCCCTGTATTTTCTTTTGATTTAAACTGTAGTTCAGAAATTGTGACTGGGAGAGAAAGCTCTTCAGTCTGCTGGTTCACGCCCCAAATGGCTGCATCAGCAGGGGCTGGGCCCGGCCAAAGCCACGAGCCAAGAACTCCATCCAGGTCTCCCACGTGGGTGTAGGGGCCCTGGGACTTGGGCCATCTTCCGCTGCTTTCCCAGGTGCATTAGCAGGAAACTAGGTTGAAAGTGGAGCAGCTGGGACTAGAACTGGTGCCCATATGGGATGCTGGCACTGCAGGCAATGGTTTAACCTGCTGCACCACAACACTGCCCCAGAAGTTATTTTTAAAATATTTAAATGCTGTAAGTAATTAAAGAAATACTAGTGCCTAGAAAAACATATAACTCTACGGATGATGGTTTTCTGACAGCATCAATGGTTTAATTTTAATACCGCTAGGCTCTGACCCTACTTTTAAAGGGAAATGAAAATAACTTTAAATGAAAATGTACAACAATATACAGAACAAAATGAGTGCATTGTTTTTAAGTATTTTGGTGCATTTTCTTTTTTTTTTAAAGATGTATTTATTTTTATTTGAAAGTCGGGGTTACACAGAGAGAGGAGAGGCAAAGAGAGAGAGAGAGAAAGTCTTCCATCCGCTGGTTCACTTCCCAATTGGCCGCAACGGCTGGAGCTGCGCCGATCTGAAGGCAGGAGCCAGGACATCTTCCTGGTCTCCCAATGGGTGCAGGCGCCCAAGGTCTTGGGCCATCTTCTACTGCTTTCCCAGGCCATAGCAGAGAGCTGGATCGGAAGTGGAGCAGCCAGGACTAGAACCGGCACCCATATGGGATGCCGGAGCTTCAGGCCAGGGCATTAACCCACTGTGCCACAGCGCTGGCCCCTTTTTTATTCTTTGTTTATAGGCTGTTAATTATTTGGTAGTGTTGGAAACAGTTGAATAAGTTAAGTCTTATCTAAGATGACAGCATAAGCTAGCAGGGAAGGAGTTTGATTTTGCAAAACTTCATTTCTCACACAATATATTTTTTTTTAAATACTTGTTTGTTTGAGAGGTGGGTGATAGAGACTGAAGAGATCTTCCAACAGTTGGTTCATGCTTCTGATGGCTTCAACCACTGGTGCTGGGCCAGGCTGAAGCCAGGAGCCAGGAACTCCATCCGGGGCTCACATGGGTGGCAGGGGTGCAAGTACTTGGGCCATCCTCTGCTGTTTTCCCAGACACATTGGCAGGAAGCTGGATTGAAGCAGCGTGGCCAGGATTCACACTGTCACTCTGATAAAGGATGCTCCCATGGCGAGCAGTGGCTTAATCTGCTGCACACAATTCTGGCCACAACCAACAACGAGGATTTAAGAACCCTTCCGAGGGGTAAAGGTAGATGTTGTAAGGTACAGGCAATGGGCAAAATGAACATTCCTAGCAACGGAAGTTGTGATAAATCCAGTGATGTGTCTTCTGAATTGCTCTCATGTAAGCCTGCAGTCTGTCTAAATTCAATGAAATGTTTTCTTAAAATGCCTGTTTATTCCTTCATATGGCGTTGATCAAGATATTCAGTGTATATTGTTTCTTTTATAGCAGATTTATCAAATTCTAGAAGAAATGAAATTGAAGCCATTCATGCAGTCTTAAAATCAGAGGTAAGGAAAATTAAAGACGACTGTGAAGCTGTTCCAGTCCTGTCTTTAAAATGCATTGTTTATGACTTTTTATTTTTTCCTGAGCTTTTTATCATCTTCCCTTAATGAGGAATATATTTACATGATACTGCAGTTTGCTATTTCTTAATACACCTATCTCTGTTTCTGTGTCCTGCAGAGTTGGAATACTGCCAAAGTTAGAAATAATACCGGCAGCAAGTTACATTTATCAAGAGGTTACTGTATTCCAACGGTATTCTAAGTTGTAGTAATGCATTTATTTTTGTGCAGTTTGAAGAATGCAATTCTGTTTAATCTGTAGCTTTTTAATTCCCTAACTTAATATTTGGGTACAAAGAAGTTAAGAATATAGGAACGGCAAATTAATTTTTAAAGGCCAGAATTCTTAGACCTTTTATATCAGACATCTCTTCGTGAGAATCAGTATGTTTCTTAGAATGCCATGCACATAACTACCATTAACAGTTTTCACTTGTAGTCCTTTTGTTGAAAACACTGTTTTCTTTGCTTCTAGAATGAAAGGCTCAGAAAGCTGTGTGTGGATCTGGAGGAGAGGCATGAAGCAGCGGAGCTTCAGCTAAAGCAGCAGTCTGCGAGCTACAGAAGCCAGCTGCAGCAGAAGGAGGTAGAGGTCTCTCCCGTCAGCCCGTTGATTTCATTGTCGTGCGTTTAGCAAAGTTATTTTAAGGGTTAAAGCCTTATTTAGATCCATAACGACATTGAAAGGGTGTTGAATTTAATAAGATGCAGCTCAATTTGATATCACTAATTTTAAAAGAATCATGTAAGCTAATTAAATTTATAATATATAAAATAACCTTTATGGAATTTAATTTCTGTTTTCTAAAAGAAAATAAGTTTTGATACAAAATATCTTCAAGTATCCATGGCATGTAATTTGTGACTTTATGAAACCAATTTATTATTTCAATTGTTTTTTAAATTATTTTCTTAAATGCTTATTTAATTTACTTGAAAGGCAGAGTGACAGAGATCCTCTATCCACTGGTTCACTTTCCAAGTGCTTGCAACATCAAGGCTGGGCAAGACTGAAGCCAGGAATCTGAAACCCAGTCCAAGTTTCTCATGTGGGTAGTAGGGGCCTGGACACTTCAGTGGTCATCCACTGCCTCCCACATGTGTTAGCAGGAATCCTTACCCAAAGCAGAGTAGCTGATGCTTGATCCAGCACATGGTGTCCCCTGCGTCTCAACCCACTGTACCACAATGCCCACCCCAGGTTATTAAGTTGTTTTTAAATCAAAGTGTTGCCAGTGACATTTTCTTTTTTAAAAATGCTTTTGAATATAATTTTTACCATTTGTTGGTGTTGGCATGTACTTGATTTTTCATGGAAAATCAATATTAATGGTGGGTGTTGAGCCTAGCAATGAAAGTGCTCCCTGTATCCCGTATCAGAGTGCTTGGGTTGGCATCCTGGCCCTGGTTCCTATTCCACCTTCTTGCTAATGCCTTCTTGCATGCCCTGGAAGGCAGCAGGTGTTGGTCAGGTAATTGGGTTCCTGCTGTCTACACAGGAGATCCAGACTGAATTCCTGGCTCCTTGCTAGGACTTGGCCTTGCTCCAGCTTTTATAGGCGTTTAGGGAGTGAACCAGCAGATGAGCTCGCTCACTCACTCATGCTCTGCCTTTCAGATAAATAAAATTTGTGGGAAATGGAATTAAAATGAGTTTATTTAAAAAAATGCTAAGTATAATTGCACTGCTTTATAAATGCATTTGTTTTAGCTTGATTGAAATAGTTGTTTTAGAATTGGCTTATCTTTTCTGTGTGGAGCTGGTAATAAATATTATGTAATTTAACCAGTGTTTTCCTGAATCCTTTAAAATAAAGACTATGTCCCTATGTGTCATGCTGTTACTAAATTATCTTTAGCTTTTTGTTCATAAGTGGAGTCCAGTACATACTTAAATTGAATTGAGCCATTTCCTATTTTATTATCTAGATCATATCGGTTTTCTTTGCTTGGTTGATTAAATGTTCATTTCTACCATAACTTTATTTGAGTTTTTAAAATTTTTGATGCATAGATTTCTAGTTTATTTAGTCCTGACATGCAAAGATGAAAAATAAAATTTATCAAGGCAAGTGTTCCCCCTAGCGTTTAGTCCATTCTAGAGTATCTGGTTTGATACCCAGCTCTGGCTCCTGACTCCAGTTTCCTGCAAATACAAGCCCAGTGGAGGACAGTAGTGATGGCTCAAGTGACTGGGTTCTTGCCACCCACATGAGAGACCTGGATTGAGTTCCTAGCTCCTGGCTTTGGGTGGGTTCATCTATTGAGAGTATTTGGGGAGTGAACCTGTAGCTGGGAGTTTTCTCTCTGTCTCTCTTTGTATCTATGCCTCTTACATAAATAAACTTATACACACACTCATATTAAAGATAAATTTTTGTGTAAACATTTAAAGTGGAGCTCAAATTTCTAATTTATTGGGAATTGATTTCATAAAATAAAATAAAAATGAATTACTACAAAAATAAAATTAATACAAAAACAAAAACAAAGTTACAAGTTCAAATTAAAGTTACAGGCCCACTGACTTTTTTTTTTTTTTTTTTTTTTTTAAGATACACACAGATGGCCAGCATCACGGCTCACTAGGCTAATCCTCCACCTTGCGGCGGCCGGCACACCGGGTCTAGTCCCGGTCCGGGCGCCGGATTCTGTCCCGGTTGCCCCTCTTCCAGGCCAGCTCTCTGCTGTGGCCTGGGAGTGCAGTGGAGGATGGCCCAAGTGCTTGGGCCCTGCACCCCATGGGAGACCAGGATAAGTACCTGGCTCCTGCCATTGGATCAGCGCGGTGTGCCGGCCGCAGCATGCCAGCCGCAGCGACCATTGGAGGGTGAACCAACGGCAAAGGAAGACCTTTGTTCTGTCTCTCTCTCTCACTGTCCACTCCGCCTGTCAAAAAATTTAAAAAAAAAAAAAAAAGATACACACTGATAACAAACTTATTGCCAAGTCCTTCTCCCATGTCGGTACTTGCTGTGGACTGGTAGCAAACATACATAAGCCCATGGTCAACACTTTGAATAGTGCTAACTTCCATTATGACAGAGCAGTAAATAGCTCCTACCCAGGGGATGTATTTACAGCTGAAGTGTTAGTAATAATTTTAAAAATACACACAATTTACTGGGAAGGAGTCCTGTTGGTATTTTTAAAAGCTCCATAGGCGATTCTGATGCCTATCTCACAGTTAACATGTGGACAATTCTGGCATTTTATTTTCTACTTAACTTGATATTAGCACATTAGGGGCTGGCATTGTGGATTAGTTGGTTAAGCCTCCACCTGCGGCACTGCATCCCATATGGGTGCCGGTTTCATGTCCCGACAGCTCCTCTTCCAATCCAGCTCTCTGCTATGGTCTGGGAAAGCAGTGGAGGATGGCCCAGGTCCTTGGGCCCCTGCACTGACATGGGAGACCCAGAAGAAGCTCTTGGCTCTTGGCTTCAGATTGGCCCAGCCTTAGCCTTTGGGGAGTGAATCAACAGATGGAAGGCCTCTCTCTCTCTCTCTGTAATTCTGCCTCTCAAATAAATTAATTTAAAAAAGAAAGAAAGAAATCACCTGTAAGCAGCCATCAGTATTCAAACCAAGCCTTAGGTACAAGCCTTAGATATGTTTCTTTTTTTTTTTTTTTAAAGTAGCACATTGAACTTTTGAGTTTGGAATGTTTCTTTTAGAAATATGTAATATTTTTTATGAGAGCTTGCACCTGTGTAAATTCACAACATGGTGCAAATATTGTATGGCAACTTTGTATCCTTGCTACATCTGCAGGATGTGGGTTTCAGACTTTTTTACTAGTGTGAAACACAATATTTGACAGTGTAGATCTGCCGTTTTTTGAATCTGCTGCCCTCATTGTCGTGTTCGTGTTCTCCTGAGATGCAGTTTATCGCCTGTTAGCTGAGGAAGAGTGAACGGGAATCCCTGTTTGCTAGGACGTAGAGCATCCCTGTGCTTGGTTTCTGTCGGCCCAGTTTCCTGGCTTCACACACGTGTTAATCCTGCTGCTTGCTGGCAGTCTGTCTCCTGGTCTCAGTTTCCTCAGTTGTGGCAGAATGTCTTCTGGGCTGCTTGGAGTGCAGAAAACTTATTTCAGTTTTCTCTCTCTCTCTCTCTCTCTTTTTTTTTTTTTTTTTTTTTTGACAGGCAGAGTGGATAGTAAGAGAGAGAGACAGAGAGAAAGGTCTTCCTTTTTGCCGTTGGTTCACCCTCCAATGGCCGCCGCGGCCGGCGAGCTGCGGCCAGTGCACCGCGCTGATCTGAAGCCAGGAGCCAGGTACTTATCCTGGTCTCCCGTGGGGTGCAGGGCCCAAGCACTTGGGCCATCCTCCACTGCACTCCCAGGCCATAGCAGAGAGCTGGCCTGGAAGAGGGGCAACCGGGACAGAATCCGGTGCCCCAACCAAACCCGGTGTGCCGGCGCTGCAAGGCGGAGGATTAGCCTAGTGAGCCACGGCGCCGGCCTATTTCAGTTTTCTCTAGATTACTTATTTTTATGTTTTGAGTGTCTTTCACTCAGTGGTTGTGACAGTCGGACAAGTCTCATGTTCATAATTTCTTTGGGGCTATGACTTGGGGTTGCTAGCCTTCAAAGTTCTGCTCAGGGTTTTAGAATTTTTTTTTTTTTTTTTTTTTTTTTTTTTTTTTTTTTTTTTTGACAGGCAGAGTGGACAGTGAGAGAGAGAGACAGAGAGAAAGGTCTTCCTTTTGCCGCTGGTTCACCCTCCAATGGCCGCCGCTGCAGCCGGCGCACCGCGCTGATCCTGGCAGGAGCCAGGAGCCAGGTGCTTTTCCTGGTCTCCCATGGGGTGCAGGGCCCAAGCACCTGGGCCATCCTCCACTGCACTCCCTGGCCATAGCAGAGAGCTGGCCTGGAAGAGGGGCAACCGGGACAGAATCCGGCGCCCCAACCGGGACTAGAACCCGGTGTGCCGGCGCCGCAAGGTGGAGGATTAGCCTATTGAGCCACGGCGCCGGCTCTTTAGAATTTTGTATGCTGCTGTTTCCTTAGTCAGTTTCCATTGGCCCCTCTCTGCCAAGGCTAAAGCCAGGGTCTCTCTCAACGCTTAATTTCCTTCTGAGATTCCTGGGCTGGTAATCATGGGCCCACTGTGTTTTCTTACCTAGAAAGACTGGACTTAGGATCGAGGCATTCTTCCAGCTGTGCTGTGCAGGCCCAAGCGGTCACCTCTTGTGGCTGGCACTGAATTCCAGCCGTGATCAGATCCAAGACGTCATGCAGGAGGTATTCTGTGGAAACTTCCAGTGCACAGAATGACATAGCTTTGATTTTTTTTTCCTCATCCTTTAAGATTTGATAGCAAACAGAACGCTAAGAAGTTGCACGTTCTACCTCAGTATGTAGAAGCCGGCAAACTCATATTTACTTGTATTAGTAAACTTATGAGTACAATTCTGATCTTCATGTTATTGGAAGCATTATCTAGGTATTGGTAATCAGTTTTGTTTGAATTTACTTTTTAAAAGCCATTTAAATTTTTTAAAAATTTCATTTGAAAGGCAGAAAGAAAGAGACAGACAGAGATCGTCCATCTTCTGGTTCACTCTAAATACCTACAACATCCAGGACTGGGCCAGCCTGAAGCTGGGAACTCCATCTGGATCTCCCATGTAGGTGGCAGGTACCCAAGTACATGGGCCACATCTGGGACCTCCCAGCATGTCCATTAACAAGAAGCTGGCTGGGAAGCAGAGCTGGAACCCTGGTATGGAACACGGGCATGCCAAGCAGTGATTTAACCACTGCATCCAACGCCTGTCCCAAGTATTTGTTTTTTAAAAAAGTATTGTGGTTAGGATGTTACAAATTCAGTTAATAGAGTATCATCATTGGATAATCTCAAGTTATTATACCTTTTAATGTTATTAATATGGTGAAAAGATCAGTGTGGTCATCTTAAAGTAAATGCCTGCTCTAACTCATGCATTCTGAATGTGCAGGTGGAAATCAGCCACCTGAAAGCGAGACAGCTGGCACTGCAGGATCAGCTGCTGAAGCTGCAGTCCGTGCACTCGGGGGCCGGCAGCGCACCAGCCGCCAGCGCAGCGTCCGCCTTCAGTTACGGGGCCAGTCACCACGCTGCAGCTTTCCGTGATGACGACATGGATTTTGGTGACGTAATTTCCTCACAACAAGAAATAAACAGACTGTCCAATGAAGTCTCAAGACTTGAATCCGAAGTTGGCCATTGGAGGCATATTGCACAGGTAGGTCAAAATTGTCATGAGCTTTTGAAAACTATGCTGTACAGGAAGCTATGGGCAGAGCTTTGAAATCTGAGAGAACTCTGGAGTAGGAAATAGAAAACTTGTGTTCTAATTCTAATTTTTGTGAAAATTTTATTTAAGTTATACAAGTCTCATGTATGTCATATATCTCATTCTACCCATGATTTTGTAAGTGGTTTTGGTCAGATCATCTTTCTTGGCCTGTTCCCTTTTCTGTACAGTATTTGGAGAGAATTTTTTTTTTAACTTCAAGCAAAAGATATTTTTTTTGACAGGCAGAGTTAGAGAGACAGAGAGAAAGGTCTTCCTTTTTCCATTGGTTCACCCCCCAAATGGCTGCCACGGCCGGGCGCACTGCGCCGATCCGAAGCCCAGAACCAGGTACTTCCTCCTGGTCTCCCATGGGGTGCAGGGCCCAAGCACTTAGGCCATCCTCCACTGCACTCCCGGGCCACAGCAGAGAGCTAGACTGGAAGAGGAGCAACCGGGACAGAATCCGGTGCCCCAACCGGGACTAGAACCTGGGGTGCTGGCGCCACAGGCAGGGGATTAGCCAAGTGAGCTGCGGTGCTGGCCAAAAGATCTGTTTTTAAAAATGAAGAGTTACAGAACCAGGACTCAAAAGAGATAAAAACTGAGTTGCTGTAGTTGAACCAACACCTTTCTGGAGTCCCTGAGGACTCTCGGGTGGACACCCCAGGTTCTTAAGGCACTGTGTTTGAAACCACTGCTGGATGTTGCTGAGGCTTTTATTAGCTCTGGTAATATATATAAAAAAATTTGATAATTGCTGTTTAAAATGTATTAAACTATTTTTTTGTTGTTTCTCATGCATTAGAATTTAAATCCTTGTGGAGTGGGCCTTTGGTGCAGCAGATGAGATGTCACTGGGACTCCCCGTTCCACATTTGACTGCCTGGGTTTGAATCTGGCTCTGTTGTCTGTTCCAGCTTTTGCTAACGTTCACCCTGGGAGGCAGCAAGTAATGGCCCAAGTATTTGGGTCTCTGCTACCCACTTGGGAAGGCCAAATTGAGTTCTAGGATCCTGGTTCCGGCCTGGCCCAGCTGTAGTTGTTACAGGCATTTGGAGTATGAAAACAGTGGATGGGTGATCGCTCGCTCTCTCTGTTTCTCTGTCTCTCCCTCACTGTGTCTGTCTTTCAGATAAACAAAAAAGTTATTTATTTGTTTATATATATATTTGGAAGAGTTGCAGTGAGAGGGAGAGACAGAGAGTGAGAGAGATCTTCTGTCCATCAGCCCAATCCCTAGATGGCCATGGCTGGGCCAGGACAAAGCCAGGAGCTTCTTCCGGGTCTCCCATGTAGGTGGCAGGGGCCCACGCACGTGGGCTGTGATCTGCTGCTTTCTCCAGGCCATCAGCAGGAGCTGGATTGGAAGTAGAGTAACCAGGACATGAACTGGTGCCCATATGGGATGCCGGTGTCGCTGTCAGTAGCTTTACTTGCTGTCACACAATGCTAGCCCCAAAATTTTTTAAAAAGGAATTAAATCTTTGTGATTTAAGGCTATAAATTTTTATGTCTGTAGTAGATTTTATGTGGTCTGGAGAGAGTCAGTAGACATGAGACTTAGAATGAGCAAGAATATTGTTCATCTGAATTTAATCTAATCAGTGTAGGAATAAAACAAAGTATATATGTTGAGCTTATTCTATCATTTTGTGAATGTAATCTAGTTACGAAAAGGAGAAATCATCCCAATTAAAATGAAATGCTTACTCTCAGGTTGCTAGACATTTCCAATACCCAAATTAAACTTCATCTTCTCTCCTAAACCAGTAGGTTTGTTGTGTTGTTGCTTAAGATGCATTTATTTATTTGAAAGAGTTACGGAGAGAGAGAGCGTGCTCTTCCATTCATTGGCTCACTCTCCAAATGACCTAAATCTGGGGATGGCCAAGGACAAAGTCAGGAGCGCAGAACTCCATCCGGGTGTCCTACATAGTGTTGAGCTCAGGTACTTGGGCCGTCTTCTGTTACCTTCTCAGGCACATTAGCAGGGAGCTGGATTGGAAGCAGAGCAGCCAGGACTCAAACCAGCTGCTGGGATGGCTGCATTGCAAGCAGCTGCTTAACTCACTGCACCCCACCACCAGCCCCAGCAATAGTTCTTAAATTTTGTATATGTAGGAATGCCTAGGGAGCTTGGTGATATTGTAGATTCCCTGTCCTGCTCTCAGAGATTTTGATTTAGTAACCAATTTAAGGGCCATGGAAACCACCTTCAAACAAATACCCTAGGTGATTCTGACCATCTGAAGCACACTTTTTTTTTTCTTAAAAGATTTATTCATTCATTCACTTGAAAGGCAGAGAAATATCTTCCATCTGCTGGTTCACTCTCCTAATGCCCACTGTAGCCAGGGCTGGGCAAGGCCAAAGCCAGAAGTCTGGAACATCCGGGTCTCCCACATGGGTGGTGGAGACTCAGGTACTCAGTCATCATCGCCACATTCCCAGGGACAGGCAAGTGGATCAGAAGCAGTGGAGGGGCCAGTGCTGTGGCGCAGTGGGTTAAAGCTGCGGCCTGTGGCACCATCATCCCATATACCACTGGTTCGAGACCCGGCTGCTCCGCTTCCAGTTCGGCTCTCTGCTGATGCCCCTGGGAGGGCAGTGGAGGATGGCCCAAGTGCTTGGGTCCCAGCACCCTCATGGGAGACCCAGAGGAAGCTCCTGACTCCTGGCTTCAGCCTGGCTGAAACCCAACCATTGTAGCTGTTTGGGGAGTGAACCAGTGGTTGGAGGATCTGTGTGTGTGTGTGTGTGTGTGTGTGTGTGTATGTATGTCTCTTTCTGTCTCTCCTCTGTCTGTGTGACTCTGACTTTCAAATAAATAAATAGATCTTTTTAAAAAATTAGCAATAAAAAAAAAAAAAAGAGGCAGTGGAACCCGGACTGAAACTGGCACTCCAGGAGGGGGTGTGGGCATCCTAAGCAGTAGCTTCACCCGCAGTGTCACAGCACCTTTCCCTGAATGCCGCATTCTAAGAAATGTTTCTTAAGGCAGATTTTATAGGGAAGCTATGCATATCACAAATGCCTAGTACATAACAGAACTATACTGGAAAATATAGTTGAGAAAGACATAATAATTGGGACCTTTCAGGGGGTTTAATTTCCTAGCACGGTATGATAAAAGTTAATTTTTGTATCATGTTTTGCCAAATGCTTCTTTATATGCTATCCTTAGTAAACTAGGTGACATACTTGTTACCTCTGTTTGGAGACAAGGAAACTAGAAGCTCCTCAAAGTGACCCATCCATTGCTGCAGTTATGGCTCTAATGCTTGTCTTTTTTACTCCAAATTCTGTGGTCTTTCTGTCAGCCATGGAGCAGCTTTGGTTCATTAACATGCTTGAATTGTCGGTGTTCACAGAGACAAGGGAGTGGTGATAGGAGACCTGGGTGAGGGAAGAAGGTTGTCCACACAGACACAGTTACAGCTGAGACTTGAGCTGTGGTGTTCTGATGCCCAGCAGGGTGACTAGATAATAACCATGCAGTCTGTTTTTCAGAATATTCTTACCACAAAGAAGTGTTAACTGGTTAAGAGGATAGATAGTGCCGTGAGTTAAACAGTGCAGTGTGCGCAGGTGTTGAAACATCACATTGTATCCCATAATGTGCCGTTATTGGGTATCAGTTAAAAAATTTAAAAATTAATATAAATGAAAAATACAGTTTGAATGAGAATAATCCAACAGTTCTTTTACTTTTTGTCAGACAAAGGTTATTATGTGTTGGGATAGAGATCTTCAGGGTAAATTAATTTTTTAAAGATTTTTACTGGATCATTAACATTCATATCAAGTAACTTTACACTTTAGGAATTTCCTTATAGAAAACTGCTTATTTACCCTCATGTGCATTTTGTTAAAGTAAGTAAAATAGTGTATTTTTTTTTTGGTCTTTAGATATTTTATAAAACTGTTGTCTCCCCATTCTTGAATATGGTATCTTTTTGTGTGTGTGTATTACTCTCTACTGGACAAGGCTTTTTTTAAAGGATATTTGGCACTGTTTATTGGAGAAATACCCATTTTTTAAAGAGTAGCTTTTAATAAACTTAGTTTGTGGCTTCCTATTTTCCAAGGAAAATGTTTTAATCATTTTCTAATTCTCTTTTTCTAGACTTCCAAGGCACAAGGAACACAGAGTTCTGATCAAAGTGAAATCTGCAAACTGCAGAATATCATTCAAGTAAGTCAGCCTGTTAATTGACAATGGCTACTTTGCATGTAAATGTCTGTGTATTAAAAGCATAAAGAGACAGGCATGTGACACAGTGGTGAGACGCTGCCTGCAGTGCCCTCCACATTGGAGAACCCAGTGCCAGCTCGGCCCGGTTCAAGCTGCTGTTCATTCATGCGCATCCTGGGAGGCAGAGGGGAGGGCTCCATGCCACCTACACGGGAGACCTGATTGGAGTTCCAGGCTCCTGGCTTGTCCTGGCCCAGCTCTTGTTACTGGGGGCATCTGAGGAGTGACTCAGTGGTGGGAGGTGTGCATGTATCTGTCTGTCTGCATTTCAAATAAAATAAATACATCTGAAATAGCGTAAAATAAAACCATAAAGGTCAGACAGGCATCTTGCCTAGTGGTTAGGATGCTCATGTCCCGTATTGAAGTCCCTGGGTTCCATACCCAACTCCTGTCCTGCTCCAGCTTCCTGTTAATGCGGATCTTGAGTGACAGTGTGGTGGCTCAGGTGACTGGGCTCCTGCCTGTTGTGTGGGAGATCTGGATTGACTTCCCAGCTCCTGGTTTCAGCCCAGGACAGCCCAGTGCTGGCATCTGGGGAGTGACTCAGCAAATGGGAGCTCACTCTTTCTGTCCCTCTGCCTCTCAGATAAATGAATAACAGTGTGAAGAAGAAAAAAAAAATGTCTAAGTAAGTCTCGGTTTTAAAAATTATTGTATAGAAAATGATATTCCTTTTTTACTGTCTTGTAGCTTCTTTTTTTGTGTAGTAAGAAATATAAAAATGTCTCCATAAAATCTTTTGATTTTGAATGTTTTTTTATCAGTGATTTGTATTTTTCATGAGTTTCTGCGCTCTACTATGTAATCTTGTAAAACTGTCATTTTTAGGACAGTTCCAAGGTTGCTAAAGTTTCAAAGTTTAGGGTTAAATAAAATGCTTGTATTGTTCACTGTAAATTATTTTATCTTGGTGGGGCTTTTTGTCAGTTACTGGTTTTTTTCGGGCCTTAATTACACATACTTACGACAGTGTGTTGTTTTTAGTGTGTTAAATGCTGTCAGATACAGAATTTTTAACTTTTCCAGCTGTTGCAGTACAAGTGGGGTTGGTTCTGTAGTCAGAGCTGGGTTTGAATCCTGGCTGTTCTGCTTTCTGAGCAAGTTACTTAACCTCTCCAGGCCTCTGTTTTATTATCAATAATGCAGTGTCGTAATACCTAGATTGCAGGAATATTTTGAGATTTTAAGTGTAAAACTTGTAGCCAGGTACTGGCACCCAAGAATAACTTTGACTTCCCTTCTTAGGAACTAGAAACTAGAAAAATTTTTAGATTAGGATTCTTGGTTATAAACCACAAAACCACCTCTAGCTAAATAGAGCCAAAAGTTTACCAGAAGGACCGGGTGGTTCATCCACAGAATTAAAGAGTTGGGCCGTTGCTGTGGTGTCATAGTCTTGAGTCTCCGCCTGCGGCGCTAGCATCCCCTATGGACAGGGGTTCGTGTCCTGGCTGCTCTTCCGATCCAGCTCTCTGCTGTGGCCTGGGAAAGCAGTGGAAGATGGCCCAAGTGCTTGGGCCCCTGCGTCCGCATGGAAGGCCTGGAAAAAGCTCTTGGCTCTTGATTTTAGATCAGCCCAGCTTCTGCTCTCAAATGAATAATAAAATCTTTAAAAAAAGAAAGAGTTGAACATTCTGGCTTGTAGAAGGACAGGAGCAAGAGCAGCACCAGATATCCAGATGGGCAGAGACTTTTTTTTTTTTAAATATTTATTTCAATAGCAGAGTTACAGAGAGAGATGGACATGTACACACATACACACATGCACACATAAACCCAAAGACGGAGAGAAAGATCGCCCATCTGCTGATTCACTCCCCAAATGGCCACAATGGCTGGGGCTGGGCCAGGCCAAAACTAGGAGCCAGGAGCTTCATCTGGTCTCACAGCTGGGTGCAGGGACCCACACACTTGGGCCATCTTCTGCTGCTTTCCCAGGTGTATTAGTAGGGAACTGGATCCAAAGTGAAACAGCCGGGACTTGAATTGGTGCTCATATGGGTTGCCGGTGTAGCAGGTGGCTTAACCTGCTGTGCTACAGTGTTTCAGGGGCAGACTGTTAAGTTGCAGTTTCCTGTCCAACTTGTTGCCCTTTTAAAGGGACTCTGCTCACGAGGCATTTGCCTGGAGGAGACACTGATGGTATCGACATGGGGGCAAGAATCTTGGTTTCCAGATTGGAAGTCCCATCAGACTGGTGGGGGAAAGCTCAAAGGATAGGGATAGTAGGACAAGTACAGACAGCCGGAGCACTGATAATGGCGTTGGTGCTCTGTTACTAGGAACGGAGAAGTTCATGGTCACAGATTCCAAGGAAATGATATTTTTGTTTATCTTTCATTTCAGTGTTTTCTTGCTGCTATTCCCTGATTAAAAGTAAAACAACTGTTTCTAAACCCTAAGAAAGGAAAAGGTAGTCTCTGAGCGTTGTCCTGATTTGGGGACTATATTTAAATGAATTTCAGCCTTAGCATGTTCAGAGAATCACTTTTTTTTAAAGATATTTATTTATTTGAGAGGTAGAGTTACAGACAGTGAGAGGGAGAGACAGGGAGAAAGGTCTTCCTTCCATTGCTTCACTCCCCAAATGGCCGCAATGGCCGGAGCTACGCAGATCTGAAGCCAGGAGCCAGGAGCTTCCTTCTGCTCTCCCATGTTGGTGCAAGGGCCCAAGCACTTGGGCCATCCTCCACTGCCTTCCCAGGCCACAGCAGAGAGCTGGCTTGGAAGAGAAGCAGCCAGGACTAGAACTGCCGCCCATATGGGATGCTGGCACTGCAGGCGGAGGATTAACCTACTGTGCCACTGTGCCAGCCCCTCAGAGAATTACTTTTAATAGAGACTTTTAGACAGCAGTGAGTTACGTTAACTTATTGATAATAAGTGTATTCATAACTTGATTTTTTTTAAGGAACTTAAACAAAACCGAAGTCAGGAAATTGATGACCATCAACATGAAATGTCAGTATTGCAGAATGCTCATCAGCAGAAATTGACTGAGATAACTCGTCGGCATCGAGAGGAATTGAGTGACTATGAAGAACGAATTGAAGAACTTGAAAAGCTGTTGGAGCAAGGTTATTAGTTTTATTAATTTGACATGCAGGTGCAGGGGCTCAAGGACTTGGGCCATCTTCTACTGCTTTCCCAGGCCACAGCAGAGAGCTGGATCAGAAGTGGAGCAGTTGGGACTTTTTTTTTTATTTAAAAATGCCTTTTCTACCATTTTAACTTTCCTCTTTAAGCTCTCCAAATTGTGAACTCTCGTAAATATCTTAGTTAAGTATAGCAAGCTGCTTATAGCCTGGTGCTTGATATTTGACATCCTTGATTTTATGTTTATGTTCTAGGTGGCTCAGGAGTTACAACAGCTGATCATTCTAAAGTCTCAGAATTGCAGAAGTCTGTTCAAGTTCTGCAAACTGAAAAAGTAGAGTCTACTAGAAGAATCAAGGAACTTGAGGAAGAAATAAAAGACATAAATCAAAGGTTATCTTCTGCAGAAAATGACAGGGATGTTTTGAAGAGAGAACATGAACAGCTAAATGTGGAAAAGAGACAAATGATTGAAGAATGTGACAACTTGAAACTGGAGTGTAGTAAATTGCAGGCGTACGCTATGAAGCAAGGTGACGCTGTGGCAGGGAAGGAGGCAGTTCTTGTGCAGAGTCCCGCGACGGAAGAGGTGCTGAGGCTGCAGCAAGCCCTGTCTGGTATAAAATGTTTGGAACTTATTTCCGATTGGCCTTTCATTGCATACTAGTTGTTTTAGAGACAGTCGCTTCAAGAACTGCGTACTTCGTGGAAATGAAGTATTAATGAAAATGACTGTAATTTGAGTAAAATTGTTTGGTGTGGAATCAGTGCTGTAGTTCCTAGATTGACAATAGGAACCTTCTACTAAAAGGGGTTAAGTATTGGCTAGGTGTCTTTCAGCCTCCCTTCCTTGTCCTTGAAGTATTTACATGGAACTCATTGAGGAGACCATGTCGGTTTCTGGGAAATGTTTATGTACCTAGACTTTACAGAGGGTGTGGAGTATAGACCTGTGTAGTTTTTTTTTTTTTTTTGGACAGGCAGAGTGGATAGTAAGAGAGAGAGAGACAGAGAGAAAGGTCTTCCTTTTGCCGTTGGTTCACCCTCCAATGGCCGCCACGGCTGGCGCGCTGCAGCCGGCGCACCGCACTGATCCAAAGGCAGGAGCCAGGTATTTATCCTGGTCTCCCATGGGGTGCAGGGCCCAAGCACTTGGGCCATCCTCCACTGCACTCCCTGGCCACAGCAGAGAGCTGGCCTGGAAGAGGGGCAACTGGGACAGAATCCGGCGCCCCGACTGGGACTAGAACCCGGTGTGCCGGTGCCGCTAGGTGGAGGATTAGCCTATTGAGCCGTGGCGCTGGCTTCTTATTTTTAAAGATTTATTTATTTGAAAGTTACAGAGAGGGAGAGGCAGAGAGAGAAAGGTCTTTCATCCACTCATTCACTCCCCCAAATAGCTGCAACGCCTGGGCTGGGCTGGGCCAGACTGAAGCCAGGAGCTTCATTCAGGTCTCCCACGTGGATGGAGGGGCCTAAGTACGCATTGGTCATCTGCTGCTGCTTTCCCAGGCACATTGGCAGCGAGCTGGATCAGAAGCGGAGCAGCCGGGACTCGAGCCTGCACCCGTATAGGACGTCGGTGCTGCAGGCAGTGGCTTTACCCGCTCTGACCCAGCGCCAGCCCATGCTTGTTTTCATCTATACAGATTGCAGCACTTTGCGATTCCTCAAGGCCCAGACCCTTCATTAGGGAACGTAGCCTGCCTTCTTCAGACACTGTTGCTTCTGGACGTGATCTCCTGAGTTGAAGCCAGAGCCCCACCAGTGATGAGAACCGGGGGCCATCCCTTGTTGCCCATGCTCCAGATGATGGCTAGTTACTCTTTCAGTATTTTGTTCTGGGAAAAATGAGCATTAAACACAATGGGCCAGACACCAGTATTCATTCATGCCAGGAAAACACGGGGGAGCGCTTCACCTCAAAAGATGTATTTTTATTTTGTCCTTTGTCCTCTTCTTACAGTATAAATTCTCACATTGTAAACCTGAATCATTCATTCCTCCTCTGGAGGTTGCCAGGCCTGGTGCACTTTTAACTCCCCACATTAACTCACCCAGTGGTTTGTCATGAACTCCTGATAGGGATGGCCAACTCACTACACACCGCGTGGGCTCTGCAGCCAGAGTCAGGTTCTGGGTGAAGCCAGTGTGCCCTCCCCCTCTTTCCCTGCCATGGCGTGGGTGGCGTTTACCAGTCTCACAGAGCTAAGTTAGAAGTTACCACCAGCAAGCCCTGCGGTTTCTGTTTCCCCTGGTTCAGTGACGTCAATTCTGTCCCAGAGTGCTCCAGGGTGTCAGGCACATCAGTCCAGGTGAGCTACCAGGGCAGCAAAGCAGAGCCGTGCAGTGGCCCCTGGCCCCTTCGATGTGGCTTCAGTTGAAGTAACTGCGCTCTTGTTTGGTGACCAGTGTCCATTTGTCGTTCGGGGTGATCTGTGTGGTTTATTAGGGAAGCACACCTGCTGCCCTCGTCCTTTCCTTCTGTCCAGGGCCGCAGCTTTACTTGTGCTTTGCCTGTGCCGACCGTGGCCGTCTCATAGTGGAGAAGAATGGAACGTAACTGGCTGAACCCCGCTCTGTCCCTAGCTGGCTGATCGCGAGCAAGTGCCTTGGTTTCGGTGGTTGTGTGTGTGTGCGTGTGTGTGCTGTGCGTCTGCAGGGTTTAGGTAATAGTGCCTGCCTCTGCTTGTGGTAAGATTGAGGATTATGTGAGTTTCTACATTTAAGGTTCTATTTAGAACAGTGTCTGGCCCATACTAAGTGTTATAGATCTTGTATTCTCTTGGATCCTTCAGTCTGTATTTTTTTCATTCAACAGCAGAAAAACTGTTGAGAAATGCAGAGCAGGCTACCCCCTGCCTTTGGTGCTTGTTGCGCCCTGTGAACCTCCCCCCTGCACAGAAAATGTCCGTCACGATCGGATCCCTGTCTGCCCTTCAGTGTCAGCGATCATCAATCTTCCCGTTTTAAGCTGTAGCCATCTGTAGCTCCCTGAATCAGCCGTACTGTCTCTTAGTGCTGGTGCCTTGCATATGCTGTTTTCTCTGTATGGAGAGTCTGTGCTTCTTTTAGCCAACACCTAGTATACAGGAAAGAGTTCATGGAATATGGAAGACAGATTAATTTTGGTAAAAATAATTTTTTAAATCCATGTATAGCTTCCTCATAATTCACTTAAAAAAAAAAAAAAGGTTTATTTATTTATTTGAAAGGCAGAGTCACGTGTAGAGAAGGAGAGACAGAGAAAGATTTCTTCTATCTGCTGTCCCACTCCCCAGACGGCTGCAATGGCCTGAACTGGGCCAGGCTGAAGCCAGGAGCCTGGAGTTCCATCCAGGTCTCCCACATGGGTGCAGAGGCCTAAGCACTTGGACCATCTTCCCAGAAGGCCCAGGCACATCAGCAGGGAGTTGGATTGGAAATGGAGCAACCAGGACGTGAACCTATATGGGATGCTGGCATCACAGGGGGCAGCTTAATTCACTCAACCACAATGCTGGCCCTTCATAATTCACTTTTTTTTTTTTTAAGATTTATTTTATTTATTTGAAAGAATGTTACAGAGGAGACATACAGAGAGAGAGATCTTCCGTCTTCCAAATGGCCACAACAGCCAGGCCTTGGCCAGGCAGAAGCCAGAACCAGGAGCTTCATCATGTCTCACACATGGGTGCAGGGGCCCCCAAGGACTTAGGCCACATCTTCCACTGCTTTCCTAGGCGTGTTAGCAGGGAGGTGATTCAGAACTGGAGCAGCAGGGACTTGAGCTGACCTCCACATGGGCTGCCAGGCTTACAGGTGGCAGTTTAACCCATTGCACCACAATGCCAGCCCCAAATTCACTTTTTTTCTAAAACATATAAATATAAATAAATAAATATATAAATATAAATAAATAAATAAAATAATAAATATAAATAATAAGTAAAATATAAACACATACATATTTATATATTTAATACATAATGTATAATTATGTATAATATATAATGATATATAATATATATAAGTATATACATACATATATATGTCTGTGTGTATATATATGTATGTATGTATTTATTTGAAAGAGTTACAGAAAAGGTGAGCCAGAGGCTGAGAGAGAGATCCTCCATTCGCTTTTTCATTCCACAAATGGCCACAACAGCTAGGGCCAGGCCAGGCCAAAGCCAGGAGCCAAGAGCTTCATCCAGGTCTCCCATGTGGATGCAGGGGCCCAAGTACTTGGGCCATGTTCCACTTCTTCCCCGGGCGCATTAGCAGGAAGCTGGATCAGTAGTGGAGCAGCCGGGACTCAAATCTGTGCCCATAAGGGATGCTGACACTGTAGGCAGAGGCTTAACTTTTTATGCCACAGCACTGGCCCCCATAATTCACTTTTTTTTTAACCCAGAAACATTTTATTTGAAGTATACAAATTTTATGCATTCCTTAAAACAATTCACTTTTTTTTTTAAAACAAAAACTTCTATAGTACATTCCTTTTTTTTTTTAAGATTATTTATTTGAAAGAGTAACAGAGAGGAGAGGCAGAGAGCGAGGGCTGGGGGGTCTTCCATCCAATGGTTCACTCCCCAATTGGCCACAATGGCTGGAGCTGTGCCGATGCGAAGCCAGGAGCTTCTTCCGGGTCTCCCACGTGGGTGCAGGGGCCCAAGGACTTGGGCCATCTTCTACTACTTTCCCAGGCCATAGCAGAGAGCTGGATCAGAAGTGGAGGAGCCGAGTCTCAAACTCACACCCATATGGGATGCCAATACTTTAGGTCAGGGCGTTAACTGGCTGCACCACAGCGCGGGCCCCAACAATTCACTTTTTAATGAACTTGTTGGAGACCCTTCTTGGCTTCAGTGCAGATACTACCTCCACTGGGCGCTAGGTAGCACTGGCATCTCCCGGCCATCTTTCTCCCCCTCATCTGGATTCGGGGTTCACTGGTTTGCCTCCTGTCACCTTGTGTTTGGTGCACCACACTGGATCGTCGTCATGGGTTTACTTTTCCCCCTCTGAGTTGTCAGCTCTTTGAGAAGAAGAGCTGCAGTTTTCATCTTGTAGTCTGACACCCAGCCTCTCAGCAAATGCTCAGCATTTCCTGAATGAACGTTAATGAGTTACTTCCGCTGGACTTGTTCCTCTCCCAGATCCTCTTCTGTTTATGGACCTGTTGATGAAGCCAGACTAAATGGTCTTTTTGGCAGCAGTCCTGTCAAAAGATAACTGAGATTATTGTATTATTGGGTTACAAATGTACATTTTTGTACTTTTAGGTTTTTCCTTTCTCCTTAGACCTTTTACTCTGCAACCCAGCTAACCAACTGATTTTGAAAGAGTTGTTAGTGTCTTTATCAAGGAAATAACTTCATGACTCATCCAGTGTGCAGTTGTTAATTGTTTCTTATATCTTTCCACAGAATTGGATGTTAACATGTTTGTTACTGGCATTTATGTTATGGTTTCTTTGATGTAGCCAAAATTAAAATATGAGCAAAAAAAAAGTTATACTTCAAACTGTCAGTGCTTGTTAATTGTGCTTATAAACGCATTTTCTTTTCATTGTGTTGGCCTTTTGAGTTTAATATAATAGGTAATTATTGTTATTCGATGTAATTTTAATGTTAAATTCATTTATTGTTTTTACAGATGCTGAAAATGAAATTAAAAGACTGAGTAATTTAAACCAGGTAAATTGATGATAAGTGAAAAAGCTTTTGTTGGTTTATTAAGAAAAAGTATTTTTGTTTATTATACTTGCTGGTTTTTTTTTCTCTTTTTTTGCAAATTCATGTTAACTTACTCTAAGAACTTTGGTCTCAACAATGTTACGTTTGCTGATTATTAACAGAAACAAACATTTTAGAAAGATTTACTTGGCCGGCGCTGCGGCTCACTAGGCTAATCCTCCACCTGCGGCGCCGGTACCCCGGGTTCTAGTCCCGGTCGGGGCGCTGGATTCTGTCCCAGTTGCTCCCCTTCCACAGCTCTCTGCTGTGGCCTGGGAAGGCAGTGGAGGATGGCCCAAGTGCTTGGGCCCTGCACCCGCATGGGAGACCAGGAGAAGCACCTGGCTCTCGGCTTCGGATCAGCGCAGCACGCCGGCCGCAGCGGCCATTGAGGGGTAAACTAATGGAAAAGGAAGACCTTTCTGTCTGTCTGTCTCTCTCACTGTCCACTCTGCCTGTCAATAAATAAATAAATAAATAAAAAGGTTTACTTATTTATTTGAAAGGCAGAACAACAGAGAGGTCTTTCATTAGTGGTTCACTCCCCAAATGGCCACAATAGCCGGGTCTGGGCCATGCCGAAGCCAGGAGCTCCATCCTGGTCTCCCACATGGGTGGCGGGGTCCAAGTTCTTGGGTCATCTGGTAGATTCCTAGGCTCTATTTGCAGGAAGCTGGATCATAAGCTAAATAGCCAGAACTGAATCCAGCACTCCAATATGGGATGCCCGCGTCACAAGTGACAGCGTAACTCACTGTCCCACAACACTGGCACCAGAAACAAACCTTCTGTGGGATAAATGGACATAATTTTAAAAGTTGCATAATTGAAAAATACAGGTATAAGTTTTTTTTTAAGATTTATTTATTTATTTGAAAGAGTTACACAGAGAGGAGAGGCAGAGAGAGAGAGAGAGAGAGAGAGAGAGAGACAAAGTCTTCCATCCAATGGTTCATTCCCTAATTGACCACAACGGCTGGAGCTGCGCCAATCTGAAGCCAGGAGCCAGGAGCTTCTTGCAGGTCTCCCACATAGGTGCAGGGGCCCAAGGACTTGGGCCATCCTCCACTGCTTCCCCAGACCATAGCAGAGAGCTGGATTGGAAGTGGAGCAGCCGGGTCTCGAACCGTTGCCCACATGGGATGCTGGTGCTTTAGGCCAGGGCATTAACCTGCTGGCCCACAGCGCCGGCCCCAGATATGTCTTCGAAGACAAATGTTACATGTGTAGAGATGGTAGAAACAGGTCCTGTAGCAAAGCAAGGAACATGATTTAATTTTCCTTCATAAATTTTGGGAGTTGTTTCTCTCTGATAATTCAGGTTGTTCTTTAAATATATTTTATATATTTTTCAAATATAATAAGTCCTCCATAAGAACGTCTGCAATGACTAGCTTTAGATGGGCCAGTGTTGTTGCATTTTTATAATTTTTACATACCACTAAAGAAATACTGAGTAGATAATTGTATGACTTGTCTGCTTTTTTTGTGAACTGGGGACTTTTTGTTATCTGGAAACATTGCTGTAACATTTTTGTAGGATAACAGTCTCACTGATGATAATCTGAAACTTAAAATGGAAGTGCAAGTTTTAGAAAAAGAGAAGTCGTTACTGAATCAAGAAAAGGTGAGTGCTGTGACAGCGGGCACAGAGCTGGCGTGATGTGTATGTTACAGTTCATGGCTAAGGGCACAGAGCTGGCGTGATGAGTGTGTTACAGTTCATGGCTAAGGGCACAGAGCTGGCGTGATGTGTGTGTTACAGTTCACAGCTAAAGGCACAGAGCTGGCGTGATGTGTGTGTTACAGTTCACAGCTAAAGGCACAGAGCTGGCGTGATGGGTATGTTACAGTTCATGGCTAAGGGCGCAGAGCTGACATGATGCGTGTGTTACAGTTCATGGCTAAGGGCACAGAGCTGACATGATGCGTGTGTTACAGTTCATGGCTAAGGGCACAGAGCTGGTGTGATGTGTGTGTGACAGTTCACGGCTAAGGGCACAGAGCTGGAGTGATGTGTGTGTTGCAGTTCACAGCTAAGGGCACAGAGCTGACATGATGCATGTGTTACAGTTCATGGCTAAGGGCACAGAGCTGGCGTGATGTGTGTGTTAGCTAAGGGCACAGAGCTGGAGTGATGTGTGTGTTGTACTTCACGGCTAAGGGCACAGAGCTGACGTGATGTGTGTGTCGCAGTTCACGTCTAAGGGCCAGTTTCCAGCACATGGAATGCTGGTGATAAAGCTGACCTCATCGATGCTGTCATGCCAAGTTGTAGTACCTGGGCAGGGTTCACCTTTAGAGATAAAGTAGAAGGCACGCAGCTGTGAGCAGAGAGAGAGGGGAAGGCCCTGTGTAGGTTTCCAGAGGAGCCCAGACAGCAGCGGCAAACAGGTGGGTCAGGAGGTCTGTTGTGTGTGCCCCAGAGCGTGTCTCAGGGCGGATAGGAACTTCAGTGGCCAGGGGGTCAGGAGGGACAGTTTGTGTGGTAAAAATAGGACCTTTTTGTGTGTATCGGTACAGCGTTGTGTACAGGAAGAGGTGCTTTTATGTTAGTTACCACTTGATAGTTCCTTGGCTAAGACAGGTGGTTAAACCTAGGACACTTCTAGCTTCTATTGCTAAAGTCCAGTGTTTTAGCACAGTGTAAAGTTTTAAAGTAATACATTTATTGATCGATGAATTAGTAATAAGTAAATGCTGACAAACTTGAGCCAGTGCAGGTGGTGGAGTGGCTTCACAGCTCTGTTTCTGGGCCTTTTTCCCAGTCAGTCTCTTACCAATTTCTGATGCAGCTTTCTAGACTATGTCTATCCTAGTACAATTATATAGATAAATAGCTTTCAAAATACCGTATTTACTAGTCTTACGTACCTTAACATTGTGTTTTCAGTACACAGTGTTTCTCCAAAGAAGGACTATTAGCATTTAAGTGGGTAAATTCTCAGTTATGTGCACTACCCTAAGCATTGTGGATTTTTTTTAAAGATTTATTCTATTTATTTGAGAGACAGAGAGGTCCCCCATCTGCTGGTTCACTCCTCAGATGACCACAATGGCCAGAGCTGAGCTGATCTGAAGCCAGGACCCAGGAGCCAGGAGCTTCTTCCAGGTCTCCCATGTGGGTGCAGGGGCCCAAGGACTTGGGCCATCTTCCACTGCTTTCCCAGGCCACAGCAGAGAACTGGATAGGAAGTGGAGCAGCTGGGACTTGAACCGGCGCCCATGCGGGATGCTGGTGCTGCAGGCTGGGACTTTAACCTGCTGCGGCAAAGTGCTGTCCCCGCACTGTGGAATTCTTGCCAGTACTCTTCCTACCTCCTAACTGCCGCTGTTGTCTCCCAGTCGTTTTTCATTACCATATAATATACATTTCCTGCATTCTGTTTCTGCTCCCGTTGTATTGTGTTCTTTGTCTACCTGGGGTAGGGATATTTGATAGCCTTTAGACCTCCCTGCACAAGTCTAGTAGGGCCAATAAGATTCTCATGTTATTTTTGGCTTTGCGAGTTGAGAGTCCATTGTAGCTGCTCCCTGAGTCTGCTTGCGGATTTGAGGACGCCCGGAGAACCTGCGAGACCGTGTGTGCTCTTCAGATTCACCAGAGAGGACGCTGGTGCTCGCTCCTGAATGGACAGATAACTTCAGAAAGATAGAAGACAATTCCATCTTGTCTGCTTATTTATTTTTGTTCCCTTAAAAGATTTTTTATTCTATCTGAAAGGCACAGTTACAGAGAGAAAATCTATCCACGGGTTCACTCCCTAGAGGGCCGCAACTTGGGCCAGTGCTGGCCCAGACCGAACTCAGGAGCCAGGAGCTTCTTTGATCTCCCACATGAGTGCAGAGTCCCAAACACTTGGCCATCTTCCACTGCTTTTCCAGGCACATTAACAGGGAGCTGGATCGCAAGTGGAGCAGCTGGGACTCGAACTGGTGGCTATGTGGGATGCGGCGCTGCAGGCGGTGGCTTTACCCGCTGTGTGACAACACTGGCCCCAGTCTGTCTTATTTTTAAAGCAGTTTCGCTCTGAGTTGTAGTTCAGAATAAGCGTTTGAACTGGAGGGGAATGAATTGTGATGCAGACATTCTAATACAGCAGCTATTAGTCTCCTTTATTAGGTATATTTAGGCTCTTTGAAGAAATTTGAAATTCTTGTTACTTGGAAGTAGATTCCATAGAAGTTCAATATTTAAATATCTATGAATAAAAGAAGGCTTTATAGCTATATATGTTATATTACAAACATCATAACATAATCAGAGGTTAAAATAATGTGGAAGCACAGCAAATTGTCCTCCTTCTGGGTTTTTGGAAAAAGCATTAAATATCTAGTAATAGACTATAAAATGTGTGTATGTGTCTTTCGGAATACCAGGTTTGAGAGAGGGAAACCTAGTCTGCTAAGGTTAAAGGGAAGGGAAGAAGGAGGGGTACCTTCCTGGGTCAAGAAGAGGTTCCATGTTCTGATAAAAACAGGTAATAGGGGTATTCCATTAATGAGAGAAGAAGCTTTTTTTTGACTGATTTGAAAGGAGGAGTTACAGAAAGGGAGAGGCAGAGAGAGATCTTCCATTCACTCCCCAAGTAGCTGGAATGGCTCAGACTGGGCCAGATAGAAACCAGGAGCTTCATTCGGATCTCCCATGTGCGAGGAGGGGCCCAGTCACTTGGGCGACCCTCCGTTGCTTTCCCAGGTGCATTAGCAAGAGTCGGATTGGAAGTGGAGCAGCTGGGACTCGAACTGGCACTCATATGGGAGCCAGCACTGCAGGTGGCAGCTTAACCCACTACACCACAGCGGCAGCCCCCACCTTCTATGTTTTGATTAGGATAGGACTGTAGAGTGAATTAGTAGTGATTTATGCATTTTTATTTAGTCTGTGGCTGTTGGTGACTGAATATTACAGAATGGAAGTGAAGACTTGGGACATTTTGAAAGCTGTGTGGTTGGCAATGGGGAGAGAACAAAGGGAAGCGGTGGTGAGAGGTCAGAGCAGACTCAGCTGGGAAGGTTCTTGTCTAAGGTGAGGCAGTAGCCCCTGATTTTTAAATTTATTTGAAAGGCAGAGACATGGAGTGGGACGAGAGGGGGCGGTTATCTCTCATCCTCTGGTTTACTTCCCAAATACCTGCAGCAGTCAGGGCTGGGCCAGGCAGAAGCCAGGAGGGTGTGTATTAGCAGGAAACCAGAATTGCGAGTGGAGCCAGTGCTGGATGCAGGCTGGCGTCTGAACTGCCCCAGATGCCTGCCCCAGTTGGCATCGTATCTACAGCTGTGGAGCTGTTTCGTTGAAGCTGCAAATTAAATTGCACGTGACTGAAGGCTGTGATTCGTTGAATTTTTAGACATCATCATTGAGGTATTGTTGAATGAATGATCCAGTAGATTCCCCAGTTGTGTGTGTGTCTGTGTGCATGTGTTTATTTTCATCTTTTGGCTTCTCTTCTTCAGTTATGTTTTTTGTTCTTCCCCTTCATCATTTAAGGAGGAACTTCAGAAATCACTTGTAAAATTAAATAATGAATATGAAGTCATTAAAAACACAGACATGAGAAATTTGGATTCAGAATTACATGACTTAAGATGTAATTTGGAGGCAAAGGAACAAGAACTCAATCAGAGTATTAATGAAAAGGAAATACTGATGGCTGAGTTGGAAGAACTGGACAAACAGAATCAAGAAGCTACAAAGGTTAGACTCTTAAGATAGTGACGTGGCACTTTCTACTCAGGAGACTGAACATTGCATTGACATGAAAAAAATAATGGGTGCAATTTAGTTTTGTGATTTAATATTTTAGTTCATAGAGATCGGCACTTTTTTCATAAAATGTTGGATAGTTAAACATTTTGTCTTTGCAGGCCATATACTCTCAATTGCAGCTGCTCAACCCTGCTTTTTTAAATATGTAAACAAATCTACATGGCTGGCCATGTTTCAATAAAACTTTATTTACAAAAGAGACAGTAGGCCTGATCTGACCCATGGTTTGTTAACTCCTGCTGTAATGTCTCAGAGTTGAGAATACACAACTTAACGGTTTACCATCTTATTTTTTCTTTAAAGATTTATTCATTCATTTATTTTGAAAGAGTTATAGAGAGAGAAGGCAAGACAGAGAGACAGCCAGCTTCCATCCACTGGTTCACTGCCCAGGTGGCTGCAACAGCCAGTGCTGGACCATACCCAAGCCAGGAGCTTCATCCAGGTCTCCCATGAGGGTGACAGGGGCCCAAACACTTGGGCCATCTTCTGCTGCCTTCCTAGGCCATTAACAGAGCTGGATCCAAAGCAGAGCACCTGGGACCTGAAGTGGCACCTGAAGGGGATGCCAGTGTCACAGGCAATGGCTTTAATGCTGTGCCACAACACCAGCTCCCCCTTTTTTGGTTTTAATCCTCATCTCTAAACTGGTAAGAAAGACTTGCTGTAAGTAAATGATTTTGTAGGGGATGTTGGGATAGAAAAATAGTTGTTTTTAAGAAAGGTTAGAAATTTCTGAGGATTCTGTTATGTATGAATTCTAAAATTTGCTTTAGATACTAAAATGAGAAGATGTAAATTTATCAAGCAAATTCATTTTTCTTTCAGCATGTGATTTTGATTAAAGATCAGCTATCAAAACAACAAAATGAAGGCGACATCATCATCAGTAAACTAAAACAAGATCTGGATGATGAAAAAAAGAGAGCTCACCAACTTGAGGATGATAAAGTGAACATTATTAGAGAGTTGGATGTGGAGAAAGAAAAGCTAATTCAGAGTGGGTGGGCACTGAATGATTTGCATTTAGCCAAGCAGAAGCTTGAGGAGAAAGTAGAAGATTTAGTAGATCAGCTAAATAAATCACAGAAAAGTAATACAAGCATCCAGAAAGAGAACCTTGAACTTAGGGAGCTTATTTGCCAAAACGAGGAGGCGCTCTCTAGAGTCAGGAATGAGTTACTCCAGTCTCTCAGTCAAGACTTCCACAGTGATTTTAGTGAGAAGCTCCCTAAAGGAAAGGAAACGGAAGCGCGAAATTTACAGCAGAATCTGTCAGAAATAGAACAGCTCAATGGGAAGTTAAAGAAAGTTGCTTTTGATCTCAAAATGGAAAATGAAAAGTTGCTTTCAGCATACGAAGAGGTAAGACATCAGTTGGAAGAATCCGTTGCTGTTAACCATCAGATTTCTGTGGAAAAAGACAGTGTTGTGGAGCCTCCAAGAAGGGCGGAGGGGCAGGCGGAAGCGGGGTTACGTGGGGCTGAGCAGAGCGGTGAGGGACTGGGTCCCGCGGCCTTGCAGCTGGAGTGTGAGCATTTAATTCAGCTCAGTCAGGAGAAAGACCTGGAAATAGCAGATCTCAAAAAGCACATCGAGCAAATGGGTACCGAGCATAAGGAAACCAAGGAAATGTTGTCATCTAGTTTAGAGGAGCAGAAGCAATTGACACAACTGATAGACGAGAAAGAAAATCTTATTGAACAACTTAAAGAAAGAAGTTCGGTGCTGCAGGAGGAATTAGATAAATACACTCAGGCCTTGAAAAGCAATGAAGTTTTAAGGCAGACGCTGGAGGAAAAGGATAGAAGTCTGGGCTCCATGAAGGAAGAGAACAATCACCTGCAAGAACAGCTGGAGCGCCTGCGGGAGCGGCAGAGCCGGGCTGCGCAGGGGGCCGAGCCGCGAGCCCCCGACGGCGCTGCCGAGCTGGAGTCAGAGGTGTCCCAGCTGACCGTCACCAAGCGCCACCTGGAAGAGGAGATCAGGCAGCACCAAAAGGTCATTGAAGATCAAAACCAGAGTAAGAGACAGCTCCTTCAGTCTCTGCAGGAGCAGAAGAAGGAAACGGAGGCGTTTAAATACCAGTACGAGCAAATGAACGCCACACATGCGCAGCTGTTTCTAGAGAAAGATGAGGAAATCAAGAACTTGCAGAAAACAATCGAACAGATCAAAACGCAGCTGCGTGAGGGACGACAGGACATGCACACCGAGAATTCTGATATTTTCCAAGAAACGAAAGTTCAGAACCTTAGCATAGAAAATGGAAGCGAGAAGCATGATTTATCTAAAGCTGAAACAGAAAGATTAGTGAAAGGGATAAAGGAGCGAGAGCTGGAGATTAAGCTTCTCAATGAAAAGAATATATCTTTAACCAAACAGATTGATCAGCTGTCCAAGGATGAGGTTGGCAAGCTCACTCAGATAATCCAGCAGAAAGACTTGGAGATACAAGCTCTCCATGCTAGAATTTCTTCGCCTTCCTACCCCCAGGACATCCTGTACCTGCAGCAGCAGCTCCAAGCCTACGCTATGGAGCGGGAGCAAGTGTTAGCTGTCCTGAGTGACAAGACAAGGGAAAACAGCCACCTGAAAACAGAGTACCACAGAATGATGGACATAGTCTCTGCCAAGGAAGCGGCCCTCGTGAAGCTGCAAGACGAAAACAAACAAATGTCCACCAGGTTTGAAAGTAGCGGCCAGGATATGTTCAGAGAAACTGTTCAGAATCTGTCACGGATCATCCGAGAGAAGGACATTGAGATCGACGCACTAAGCCAGAAATGTCAGACTCTACTGACCGTCCTGCAGACGTCTGGCGCCAGCAGCGAGGCTGGCGGTGTCAACAGTAACCAGTTTGAGGAGCTGCTGCAGGAGCGTGACAAGTTAAAGCAGCAGGTGAAGAAGATGGAGGAGTGGAAGCAGCAGGTGATGACCACCGTGCAGAACATGCAGCACGAGTCGGCCCAGCTGCAGGAGGAGCTGCATCAGCTGCAGGCGCAGGTGTTGGTGGACAGCGACAACAACTCTAAACTGCAAGTGGACTACACGGGCCTGATCCAGAGTTACGAGCAGAATGAAACCAAACTGAAAAACTTCGGGCAGGAGCTGGCGCAAGTGCGGCACAGCATAGGGCAGCTTTGCAGCACCAAGGACCTTCTTCTGGGCAAACTTGACAGCATTTCACCCCAGCTGGCTCCTGGGCCGGCCCCGGCTTCCGAGGCAGCGGGGCCTGCTGCAGCCGGCGAGGCCGCTGGGGCCTGCGAGGCGTCTCCGCGGCTGCGGCAGGAGGTGGAGGAGCTGAGGAGGTCGCTGCAGCAGAAGGACGCCGCGATCAGAACGCTGCAGGAGGACAACCGCCGGCTGTCCGACTCCATCGCCGCCACCTCGGAGCGGGGGAGGAGGGAGCACGAGCAGAGCGGCTCGGAGATCAGGCAGCTGCAGGAGCGGCAGGACGCCCTGCAGAGCCTGCTCAGGGAGAAGGACCTCCTCCTCAAGGCCAAGAGCGATGAGCTGCGCTCCTCCAGCGAGGAGGTCACCAACAAAGTGAACGAGAACGAGCTCCTGCGGCAGGCCGTCACCAACCTGAAGGAGAGGACGCTGATCTTGGAGATGGACATCTCGAAACTGAAGGGAGAAAACGAGAAGATAGTGGAAGCGGCCAGGGGGAGGGAAACCGAGTACCAGGCACTGCAGGAGACCAACATGAAGTTCTCCATGATGCTGCGAGAGAAGGAGTTCGAGTGCCACTCGATGAAGGAGAAGGCTCTGGCCTTTGAGCAGCTGTTGAAAGAAAAAGAGCAGGTGTGTTCTGGCTGGAGCCCTCGGGAGAAGCTGGGAGGGAGGGAGGCAGGGAGGGAGGGAGAGCGCAGTGCGGTGGCTACTTCTCCATGCTCTCCTTAACAGGATCACGACCCTGTTAACTCGGAAGTATTTATTCCAAGGTAATGTGCTTCGTGCTCAGTAAGTTTTCCTCAGAGAACTCTGGAAGTTTCTCCCTCAAAGTATCAGATATTTCCAGATACTTGGAGGCTTTTGGGAGTAAATTAATTTCTTACTTCCTGCTAACTAGAAAAAAAGAATTTGCTAGCAATTTAGATTTTTCTTGTAAAAAAAAAGATTTTTCTTCAGAAAACAAATTTTCTGCAAGAGGGAGTTCTTAAGTCACCTCAGTTTAACCAGATTTCAGGCATATTTCAGTAGCTGCTCGTAATGATTAATATTCTCGAGCTGCTGTATGGAAGGAGAAGCACTGTGAAGTACACACTGCATCTTTGAACTGCAATAAGAAATCACATGTTACCCCGAGACACGGTAAGTCTGCGTGTGTGTCTGTGAAACCGAGGCACTGCTTCAGGAACCAGGAATCACCCTACCACGACGTGTGATATTCCATGAACATCAACTACTGGCTGGTCTATGAAATTACCTTCTATGGACCTGTTATTAGATGCAGCCTGGAATTTGAACAGCTGTAGCCATGCTGCGTACTTTTCACAGAAGAGGCTCTGTAAGTCATTCTAATCCCAGCTCTGTTACTAATGGCACTTAGTCTAGTCTCCGATGAAGGCAGCAGGGACAGGTACTGGAGCCATCGCCTGCTGCCTCCCAGGGTTCACGGAAGCTTCAACTGAAAGCAGAGCCGAGACCTGAACCCAGATTTTCTTGATATGGGATGCAGGTGTCCCAAGCAGCATCTTAACTTCTGTAGCAAATGCCCACCCTTTTGTGTTTTCATTGACATTATTTTTACTCCCCCCAAAACCTTTTATTTAAGGTATACAAACTTCATGCATTTCATAAATACAGTTTAGGAATATAGTGATTCTTCCCACAGTACCCACAATCCCATCCACACTCCCACCCCTCTTCCTCCTCCCTCTCCTATTCCCATTCTTATTTTTTACTAAGATCTGTTTTTAATTAACTTGATACACATACAGTTAACTCTGTACTAAGTAAAGGGTTCAACAAATTGTGTGAAAAAAATATATTCTTCAACAGTCAAGACAAAGACTGTTCAAAGTCATTGCATCTCAAAGAGTTAATTTCACTTCTATAGGTTACCTTTTAGGTGCTCTATTAATTATCACAGATCAGAGAGAACATAGGGTATGTATCCTTTTGGGACTGGCTTATTTCACTAGTGATGTTTTCCAATTTCATCCATTTTGTTTCAAATGACCAGATTTCTCTTCTCTTCTCTTCTCTTCTCTTCTCTTCTCTTCTCTTCTCTTCTCTTCTCTTCTCTTCTCTTCTCTTCTCTTCTCTTCTCTTCTCTTCTCTTCTCTTCTCTTCTCTTCTCTTTTCACCACTGTGTACTCCCTGGCATACATATCCCATAATTTTTTTTATCCAGTCTTCAGTTGACAGGTATTTGGGTTGATTTCATATCTTGGCTATTGTGAAATGAGCTGCAATAAACACGGGTGTACAGATAACTTATATGCTTATTTCATTTCCCTTGGGTAAATTCCCAGGAGGAGGTCTGGGTCATACAGTAGGTCTACATTCAGATTTCTGAGGTATCTCCATACTTCCACAGTGGCTGTACCAGTTTACATTCCCACTAACAGTGGATTAGGGTACCTTTTCCCCCACATCCTCACCAACATTTGTTGTTTGTAATTTCTGTATGAAAGCTGTATTAATGGGTGAGGTGAAACCTCATTGTGGTTTTGATTTGCATTTCCCTGATGGCTAGTAATCCTGAGCATTTTTTCATGTGTCTGTTGGCCATTTGGATTTCCTCTTTTGAAAAATGCATGTTTAAATCCTTTGCCCATTTCTTAACTAGGTTGTTTGTTTTGTTGTTGAGTTCCTTGATCTCTCTATATCTTCTGGTTATTAATCCTTTATCAGTTGCATGGTTTGACGTAATTTCTCCCATTCTGTCAGTTGCCTCTTCATTTTGCTGGGTGTTTCCTTTGCAGTACAGAAGCTTTTCAATGTGATGTAATCCCATTTGTCAATTTTGGCTTTGATTGCCTGTGTCCCTGGGGTGTTTTCCAAGAACTCTTTGCCTGTGCTAATATCTTGGAGGCTTTTCCCAATGTTTTCTAATAATTTGATGGTATTGGTTCACAGATTTAGGTCTTTAATCCATGTTGAGTAGACTTTTGTGTAAGGTGTGAGGTGGGGTCTTGCTTCATACTTCTGCAGGTGGGGATCCAGTTTTCTCAGCACCATTTGTTGAAGAGACTGTTCTAGCTCCAGGGATTGATTTTAGCTCCTTTGTCAAAGATGAGTTGGCTGTAGATGCATGGGCTGATTTCTGGTGTTTCTGTTCTGTTCCATTGGTCCATCCATCTGTTTTTATACCAGTACCAGGCTTGAAATCTGGTTTTGTGATGCCTCTAGGATTTGTTTTCATTGTATAAGATTGTTTTAGCTATTCAGGATCTCCTATGTTTCCATATGAATTTCAGCATCATTTTTTCAGTATCTAAGAAATGTCTTTGGTATTTTGATTGGTATTGCATTGAATCTGTAAATTGCTTTCAGGAGTATGGACATTTTGATGATATTGATTCTTCCAATCCATGAACATGGAAGATTTTTCCATTTTTTTGTATCTCCTATTTCTTTCTTTAGTGTTTTGTAATTCTCATCATAGAGATCTTTGACATTTTGGTTAAATTTATACCAAAGTATTTGATTTTTAACTATTTTGAATGGGATCAATCTTAGAAGTTCTCTCAGCAGTAGCATTGTCTGTGTATACAAAGGCTATTGATTTTTTTAAGAAATTCTCTAAGCCCGTCACCTGGGAAGCACACTTACTTTTTTATTTTATTTTTATTTGAAAGCCAGAGTTACACACAGAAGGAGAGGCAGAGAGAGAGGGAGAGAGAGGGAGAGAGGTCTTCCATCTGCTGGTTCACTCCCCAGTTGGCTGCAACGGCTGGAGCTGCACCAATCAGGAGCCAGGAGCTTCTTCTGGGTCTCCTATGCGGGTGCAGAGGCCCAAGGACTTGAACCATCCTCTACTGCTTTCCCAGGCCATAGCAGAGAGCTAGATTGGAAGTAGAGCAGCCGGAACTCGAACAAGCACCCAATATAGGATGCTGGCACTGTAGGCAGCAGCTTTACTCACTTGCCACAGCACTGACCCCAGGCTATTGATTTTTGTGTGTTGATTTTATATCCTGCCACTTTACCAAACTCTTCTATGAGTTTCAGTAGTCTCTTAGTGGAGTCTTTTGGATCCCCTATATATAGAATCATGTCATCTGCAAATAGGGATAGTTGGACTTCCTCTGTCCCACTTTTTATCCCTTTGATTTCTTTTTCTTGCCTAATGGTTCTGGCTAAAACTTCCAGGAATATCCTGAATAGCAGTGGTGAGTTGGGCATCCTTGTCTGGTTTTGGATCTCAGTGGGAATGCTTCCAACTTTTCCCCATTCAATAGGATATTGACTATGGGTTTCTCATAAATTGCCTTGATTTTGTTGAGGAATGTTCCTTCTATACCCAATTTGCTCAAAGTTTTCATCATGAAAGGGTGCTGTATTTTATCAAATGTTTTCTCTGCGTCTATTGAGATAATCATATGGTTTTTGTTCTTTAGTTTGTTAATGTATCACATTGATTGATTTGTGAATATTGAGCCATCCTTGCATACCTGGGATAAATCCCACTTGATCCAGGTGAATGATCTTTCTGATGTGTTGTTGAATTCAATTGGCTAGTATTTTGTTGAGGATTTTTGTGTCTGTGTTCATCAGGGATTCATTGACATTTATACATCGTAAGTGTGTGAATTTTGTGAAGACTCTTCTATTTTCTAGGAAGCTTCCCAAGTTACAATTGGAGGGTGAACCAACGGCAAAGGAAGACCTTTCTCTCTGTCTCTCTCTCTCTCATTGTTCACTCTGCCTGTCAAAAAAAAAAAAAAAAAAAGTACTTGTAGATTTATATTTTTTAAAGGCTTATTTATTTGAAAGACAGAGTTACAGAGAAAGAAGGAGAGACAGAGATTTTTTCATCCCCTGGTTCATTCCCCAAATGGCTGGCAATAGCCAGGGCTGCACCAGGCCAAACCAGGAGCCTGGAACTCCATCTGGGTCTCCCATGTGGGTGCAGGGGCCCAAGCACTCAGGCCTCCTTCAATTGCTTTCCAAGGCACGTTAGCAGGGAGTCGGATTGCAAGTGGAGCAGCTGGGACTCAAACCAGCACCCATATGGGATGCCAGCGTTGCTGCTAGCGGCTTTACCCACTGCACCACATACTGCCCCACCCAGCGCTGGTGCTTAGAATATCTATATATCTATATCTATATCTATATCTATTCAGAGTTACAGAAAGGCAAAGGCAGAGAAAGAGTGAGGTCTTCAATCCGCTGTTTCATTCCCCAGATGGTTGCAATGGCCAGAGCTGAACTGATCCAAAGCCAGGAGCTTCTTCCAGATTTCTCCATGTGGGTGCAGGGGCGTCTTCTACTGTTTTCCCAGCAGAGAGCTGGATCTGAAGTGGAGCAGCCGGGACTCAAACTGGCACCCATGTAGGATGATGGCATTGTCAGCAGTGGCTTTACCCACTACACCACGCATTGCGGGCACCTAGAGTATATTTTGAATCTAATAAGTCTTTATGAAATTCTTGTTTTAGGGAGAAAGGGGTTTTCTTAATAGGAGACCTTCAAAACTAACTTTTCAATCATTTGTTTATTCTGTTTAATATGAAAAAAAAATTAAACTGAAAAAACCGTTTTGGAAAATACTGACTCTCTCATGCAGGAGGGAGTAAGTAGATAAAAGTAACAGTGTCATGTTTGGCTTTCAGTTATCCTGGGGATATGTTATATGTTCTTAAAGAAATGGAAAGCTTACCTGAAAACTTAAAATAGATGCTTGTTTAAACCAGGAAAGAATTGACTGTAAATAACCTGACACTTTTTTTGTGCTTTTAAAAATTCCAGCTGTCATCTGAAATTCATAGCCTTAGTTTTTGTAGTAAAGTAGTATTTTTCTGCTGTCCTTACTTGTGTGGAATGCATGTAAGAAGACATTGTCAGCTGGCGCCGCGGCTCAGTAGGCTAATCCTCTGCCTGTGGCGCCGGCACACCAAGTTCTAGTCCCAGTCGGGGCGCCGGATTCTGTCCCGGTTGCCCCTCTTCCAGGCCAGCTCTCTGCTGTGGCCCGGGAGTGCAGTGGAGGATGGCCCAAGTGCTTGGGCCCTGCACCCCATGGGAGACCAGGAGAAGCACCTGGCTCCTGGCTTCGGATCAGCGTGGTGTGCCGGCCGCAGCGCGCCAGCCGCAGCGGCCATTGGAGGGTGAACCAGCAGCAAAGGAAGACCTTTCTCTCTGTCTCTCTCTCTCTCTCTCACTGTCCACTCTGCCTGTCAAAAAAAAAAAAAAAAAAAAAAAAAAAGAAAGAAAAGAAATTGTCATAACTTTCTAGCAAGATGAGTTCAGAAGCTAACTTTTGTTAACTTGTTGCCCAGATGTTTTGCCTTTTTCTCTTTTGGGACCGCTTGATACTGTTGCTTTCTCTGACAGCTGTGGGTGGCTGATGAGTGGACGAAGGTGTGCAGGTGGGGGCGCAGATCTTGGTGACTTTGTGGCCTATGAACACTGGTGTAAAGGGTAAATTTGAAGGGGATTTTGTCTTGGATTCCTTTTAAATCATTTCCCATAAACATGCCTTTTCTTTTAGAATAGTTTAAGATTTATAGAAAAATTGCAGCGATGGTTGAGAGAATTCTCATCTAGCTCACAGCCAATTTTCCTTCCTGCTAATGTCTTGGGTTTCTGTGGCGCATTTGTCAAGACTAATGAGCCAGTGTTGAGGCGTTGCGGTCAACTGTCCGTGTTTTCCCGTTCCAGGATGCCATCCGGGGCCCGCCTTACTGTGTCTGGATGTCCTGTCTCACCAGGCTCTGGACTGGGACCATTTCTCAGCCTGGCCTCTTTTTGTTGACTTTAACATAGTTAACTTATTTTAAAACTATTTAATGAAGAAACTATTTTAATGTATTTTTCTCTAAAGCTAAAGTCATTTTTTTTTCCCTGAAGGGCAAGGCTGGGGAGTTAAATCAACTTTTAAATGCAGTTAAGTCAATGCAGGAGAAGACGGTTACGTTTCAGCAGGAGAGAGACCAGGTCCTGCTGGCCCTGAAACAGAAGCAGATGGAAAGCAGCACCCTGCAGAATGAGGTATGCCGACAGCAGGTGCAGTCTAGCCGAGAACACTGGGAGGATGGGCGGTTAAAGTGGATTTCTCGGGTGATTTTCCTTCGTTTTCTTCTAGTGTGCAGTAGTGGGGTTTTGATCTCCCAGGGTGCCTTTTTTTCCTTCCACTTTTCAAAAATGAGGATCATGGCATATTGTGGATGTAAGGAAAAGTTCTGACTCATAAGTATGAAAAAAACGAGGTTTACTGAAAAAGTATTCTGTCGCAAAGAGCCCAGTACTTTTATGGAATTCCAGTTTCCACGAGAGCCACGGGGAATGGGATCCTACAAAGCACACCTTCCAGATGAGTTTTCAAGATGATTTCAGGGGAATTTTTTCCTAAGTATAAGTAAGCCTTGCAGTATGAGAAATTAATGTACGGTTGATACACTTTAATAATGTGAGAAGAAGTTTGGCAGGAGAGTGACTTGTTGGGGAGGGAGGCGTGTTATGTAGAAGAGAAGTAAAGAGTTGTCCGGTCCTAGGTTCAGCACTTACGTGACAAAGAATCACGGCTAAACCAGGAGCTGGAGCGGCTGCGGAACCATCTTTTAGAATCGGAGGATTCTTACACTCGGGAAGCTTTGGCTGCAGAAGACAGAGAGGCTAAACTAAGGAAAAAAGTCACAGCATTGGAAGAAAAGCTAGTGTCATCCTCCAGCGCAATGGAAAATGCCAGGTAACTCTTTGTTTGTCTGCGTTACCGTTGACAGAAGACGTCTCGAGACGGACTCAGCGGCGTCTTTCACACGCCAGCTGCTTCGCACAGTCGCTCGCTTTCCCCGTTTCACAGGTGAAGGGCTGGGAGTGCAGAGGTGGAGCAGCCAGCCCAGGTCAGGCACACGGGATCTGCCTGGGTCTCACGCCCAGGTCTGTGACGTACACAGACTTGGCGTTCAGACGTTGGGAATCTCGGCCGCTTACCTTTCCAGGAGTGCAGTCTGAAGTTCTGACAGGCTTGATTAGCCCTGGCCAGCTCCCAGAGAACTGGTTTAACTTGTGGTCCTGTTCCCCATCAGCAAATCCAAGGCTGCACTAGGTGTAAGTAAGTGTGAGGGTGAAGTTCCAAGTCTGTGAAGAACAGGGACCGGGCTCTGCTCTCGTATTTTAAATTTTATTTCTCCTAATAAGATATTCTTTCTTATTACAAAAACATGGCATTTTTGACTTCAGCAAAATCAGACAAATGAGAAGAACATATAACAGAGTCCCACCTACCCAGCAGAATCCTTTTTGTGCTTTTAAAATTTATATTTGTGTAAGTATTACATATATTTTTGAAAGCTAAATTGAGATACTGTTCATACTGTTTTGGACTTAATATGCATATCAGTAAGTGTTGAGCCATATATATATCTTCTTTGCAGAATCATGAATTTTCCGATTTCTTTATCCTAGTTATTGTAGGATGTTTATTGTTTGAACTTTTTAGAATCACTAAGTACTGTCATGATATCCTGAGGCATTTTTTTTTTTAAGATTTATTTATTTATTTGAAAGTTACAGAGAGGTAGAGACAGAGAGAGAGAGGCCATCCATTCATTGGTTCACTCCCCAGATGGCTGCAACAGCTGGAGCTGCACCAATCCAGAGCCAGGAGCTTCTTCTGGGTCTCCCATGCGGTGCAGGAACCCAAGCACTTGGGTCATCTTCCACTGCTTTCCCAGGCCATAGCAGAGCGCTGGGTCAGAAGTGGAGAAGCCAAGACTCAAACGGGTGCCCATATGGGATACCAGCACTGCAGGCGGCGGCTTTACCCACTGTCCCGCAGCACCGGCCCCCGCGTGTGTTTTTGTGGATGACAGATTATTTCTGTAGTGTAAATTTTGAGAAATGAAACTTGTAGGTCAAGGAGCATTTTAAAACTTTTTTGAGATTGTACTGCTGACTTATTTTCCAGAAAAAACTTTGATTCACTCCTGTTTCCATTAGTGGTGCGTCCCCCATTCTGCATTCTCACTGTGCATGTTTCTGAGGGAGGTTTAAGGAAGCAGTGGAGACATCTCCGAGGGTGAACCCCTCTGTCTTCCTTTGCCACATGGTTCCACATGGATTTTTTTGTCGTTTTTTCGACAGGCAGAGTGGACAGTGAGAGAGAGAGACAGAGAGAAAGGTCTTCCTTTGCCATTGGTTCACCCTCCAATGGCCGCTGCGGCCGGCGCACCGCACTGATCCGAAGGCAGGAGCCAGGTACTTCTCCTGGTCTCCCATGGGGTGCAGGGCCCAAGCACTTGGGCCATCCTCCACTGCACACCCAGGCCACAGCAGAGAGCTGGCCTGGAAGAGGGGCAACCGGGACAGAATCCGGAGCCCCGACCGGGACTAGAACCCGGTGTGCCGGCGCCGCAAGGCAGAGGATTAGCCTAGTGAGCTGCGGCACCGGCGCCACATGGATTTTTATACCTTCAGAATCAGGAAGAAAACATGTTTAAGATGGGAATTAATAACAGTGAACGTTCACTTCTGTGTGTGTTTCACATTGACAGGAATGCCAAAACGTGCTTAGGTTATAACATTACGTATCACAGTTCTTCGTAATTTTCAGGCTCTGATTTTCTCTGATAATTAAGATAATTTCTATTCTCTGCCCCTTTCGTGTGCTCTTCCTAGTAACTTCCAGAACAACCTTCCTTACGCAGAGTTGTGATCTTGTCACTTCTTTCTCAAAAGCAGTCTTGACTCCCATACTGCAGGGAGTGTCCTCACCTGTCCACGCGAGAGGTGAACTTGGAGAAGAGCAGGTACACCCACATCTGTTACAGAGGGCAGTTTACAGCCCCTCCCTTGGTCCCTCACTGGCCGAGGACTGCAGGCGTACAATCTTGGGTGACATGACCTAAGTTACAAAGTTACTCCTCCTTCCTTCTCTGAAATTTGATTTCCTCTTGTGAGCGGGTTACTCCTTAACCTCCGGCTTGCCTAGTGAGTTTTGCTACATCTGCAAGTCCGCTCACAGTAATTCTCCCCTCTGTCTGTGTTGAAAGTGGCCCCGGGCGCTCTGCAACACTGCTGTGCACACTGCTGTGCACGTGCGGCCCAGCCTTGTGTCAGGCCCTCAGACAGAAGAGCTGCTGTTCTCACTGTTGCTGTTTCCCCACTTCTTTTCAGATTATTTCTTCTACCTGAAGAGTATGTCTGATCCCTACTGGCTCTTCTATGGCTCCTGCCTAGTCTTTAAATTCCACTTTCTTCATGCAAGATGCTTTATTCTCATATCCAAACATGAACTGTGGTGTGCTAATTTTCCTTTGCACTTAAATAATACTTTGTATCTTTAATAGGACTTACATTTTATGCAAGGTGGTTGCCCTGTCTTGTACAGACTCCCATCCCATGAAATGTGAGGTTGCTGGAGGCGGGAGAGATGGCGTTCGTTCTGTACCACCCCCACAGCATGTCTTACACATAGTTTAATAAGCAGTATTTGTTGTATGACTAACTCAGATCTGCAGACCAGGTCCTGGTGTGTTGAGCCCTTACTTAATAGTCACACCTGGTATTTATCGGCTTTTTGAGTGCTGTCATAGCTCATTTCATCCTTTATATCAAGCCAGCAAAGTGAGTAAGTCGAGTTCGAGTCTTCTAATTATCAATGTATGCTCTTGCCACAAGAGGGTGCTGTTGGGCAGTCTTTTCAAATAGACTGCCCTTGAATAAGAATTTAACTGGATATTAAAAACCTAGAAAAATCATTGCAATGTTTTGAATGTAATCATTATACATGAAGGAAGTGTACCAGCGATAGAAGCCTGGATAGCTGCTGTATAAATAAATCTGTTAGCAATTTCTGGATTATTCTTTGGGGCGGGGATAGAGGTTGTTGTATTTCATGTAAACAGAAAGAGATAACCAGTGCAGTTCATCAGTGGGTAGCCTCTGGGAAGTTGGGAGTCCACTGCCGTTGTGAGGTGTCAAAATCCAGGTGGTGTTGAAATGCATTCCTGCTTAGGTTGGAAGCTGGACACAGTGACATCAGAGGTCCCTTGCAACCTAAAATTTTTGACACTTTACATCGTAGAGTTTAGCCTGGAAACACTAAAGTTGTAAGCTGTCTGTAAATTAGGCTAAACATTTCTCATTTACCTAATTCTTAATTTTTTAAAAAAAATTTATTTCAATTTTATTTGAAAGGCAGAGAGACAGAGATAGATCTTTTATCTGCTGGTTCACTCCCCAAATGCCTGCAAAAGCCAGGACTGTGCCAGGCCAAAGCCAATAACCAAGATCTCCTTCCAGGTCTCCCACCTGACTGGCTGGACCCAAGTGCTTAAGCCGTCACCTGCTGCCTCCCAGGATGCACATTAGCCCACAGCTGGATTGGAAATGGAGTCAGGACTCAAACCCAGGTGCTCCTGTATGGGATGCAGGCGTCTCGACTGACGCTTCAACTGGTGTGCTAAACACCCACCCCTAATTCTTAGTCTGTATAGGAGTGCCCTGGTCCAGGGTGTGCTGTAGCAGCTGAAGCCACTGCTTGTGATGCCAGCATCCAGATGGGTGCTGGTTCGCATCCTGGCTGCTCTGCTTCTGATCCAGCTCCAGATAATAGGCTGGGAAAAGCAGCATGCCTGCCACCACCTAGGTGGGGGACCCGGAGGAGGCTCCTGGCTCGGCCATCGGGAGAGGGAACCAGCAGAATGAAGCTTGCTTGCTCTCTGTCTCTCCCTCTGCAACTGTGACTTTCAAACAAGTCAATCTTAAAATAAAATAAAAAGTGCTTTGTTCAAAGAAGTCAATTTCACACGAAAGACGATTGAATTAAAACAGGCTACCAGAGAAGGACTTGGCACGTTTGTTTGCAGTCTAATTTGTGTTGAATGTACCAGAGACAGGGGAGTGGCAGTTGCCAGGGAAGGGAGCCTCCGTGAGGGGCACTGCAGTCCGGGAGCCGAGAGAAGCTTCTGGATGATGCCAGTGATGCGTGCACAGCACAGTGTGCGTGTACCTAGCGCCAGGGAACTGTGCCCTTGAGAGCGCTCAGTGCGGTAGGTTTCACGTGCTGTACGCATTATCACAATAAAGAAAGGTAGGAGAGAGCTTTCCTCTTGTTACAGCATCTAGATACTTTGAAATCCAACTTAAATTGACGCAGTGCAGTGTATAAGCTGTTTCTTGTTCGGTGCCTAAGAGATGGAAGCAGCTGACTTTCGCTGTTTCGCTCTGAAGCCACCAGGCCAGCGTGCAGGTGGAGTCGTTGCAGGAGCAGCTGAACGTGGTCTCCAAGCAGAGGGACGAGGCCGCGCTGCAGCTGTCCGTGTCTCGGGAGCAGGTGAAGCAGTACGCGCTGTCCCTCAGCAACCTGCAGATGGTGCTAGAGCACTTCCAACAAGGTGAGCTGGGAGGCGGCCTGGCGGTAGGCAGTTGGCGCGTGTGGGCCGTTCTGCGCCGTTTGGGTGCTGTTTCCGATCAGGCTCGGGGAAGTCTGAAAGCGTACCCATTCGTGGTGATGGCAGGGAAGGGAAAGAGCTGCCGGGTCGATGTAGAACAGAGAGCACACGGCATCCAGCGATTCGTAAAATTTATCTTAGTATCTTCCTGCCAATCAAGGTGAGAATCCAGGCATTATAGGGTGATCAGGTGACACGGGGGAGTGCAGATGTCGAGAGAGCCACCCCTAGAGCAGACAGTGAGGTGGAGGTCGAGCCCCCTCGGGGAGTTCTCACTATCCGTCACTGTGGTGCTTTGAGGACTGACTGACGTGCTCTTAACCCTGCGCCTGCTCTGGGGCAGCTGCTGTTTCAAGTGGAGACGCAGCTGCGATCAGCAGAGCCCTTTGCCCTGAGCCACTCTGCTGCCCACTGCTCCTCCCGTCCTGAGCTGAACCCCACTCCAGTCAGCCGCTCGCCCACACACTTCGTAACTCTTGTCGCGACTTAGCTGCTCGCGGGATGGTGCCCAGGGGATGTGAGGTGATAAATACTAGGGTTTGATGCTGTGGGCCCCGAGGAGCTTAGGTTTATTCCCATATGGCCCTTCAGGGTTACTCGTATGGTTGGAATCTGGAATTTTAAATATAAAATTTTTCTAGGTCTGCTTTATCATATTATCCAGTGACTGCTGTGAGAGTATATACAAAGTGGTATGGTGCTGAGGCTGTAGAGAGTCTTGCCGGAGAGGAAAACCTCTGGTGGAGACCTGCGGGGAGAGAACACTGTGCAAGATGCACAGGGTGGGAGAGCAGGCCGTGGGCACAGGGTGGACAGGGTGGGGTGGGGTGGGAGAGCAGGCCGTGGGCACAGGTGGACAGGGTTGGGTGGGAGAGCAGGCCGTGGGCACAGGTGGACAGGGTTGGGTGGGAGAGCAGGCCGTGGGCACAGGTGGACAGGCGGGCAGGGAGAGCAGGCCGTGGGCACAGGGTGGACAGGTGGGCTGGGAGAGCAGGCCGTGGGCACAGGGTGGACAGGTGGGCTGGGAGAGCAGGCCGTGGGCTGTGACCTTAGTCCTGCCTCACGTCATTGCCTAGGCATGTGTCGTGTTCTTGTTGAACTGCTTTTGTTGAATTAAAATTTCAATGTTGAGATTCCAACTTTGTCACACATTAACAAAATACTAATATAACTTTCTCTTCTCTTTAGAGGAAAAAACTATGTATTCTGCTGAGTTAGAAAAGCAAAAGCAGCTTATAGCTGAATGGAAGAAAAAGGCAGAAAACCTGGAAGGAAAAGTGGTGGCATTACAAGTATGTCAAGCAGTTTGCTCTTGTAGATTGTATGTTCATGAGTAGTTCCTTGTTTTCTTTTTTTTTAATATTTATTTTTATTTATTTGAAAGTCAGAGCTACACACAGAGAGAGGAGAGACAGAGAGAGAGAGAGGTCTTCCACCCGAGTTCACTCCCCAATTGGCCGCAACGGCCGGAGCTTCCTCTGGGTCTCCGATGTGGGTGCAGGGGCCCAAGGGCTTGAGCCATCTTCTACTGCTTTTCCAGGCCATAGCAGAGAGCTGAATCAGAAGTGGAGCAGCTGGTTCTCGAACCGGTGCCCATATGGGATGCCGGCACTGCAGGCGGCAGCTTTACCCACTACGCCACAGCACCGACCCTAGCATTATTCTATTCTATTCTATTCTATTCTATTCTATTCTATTCTATTCTATTCTATTCTATTCTTTTCCCTTTCCTTTCCTTTCCTTTCCTTTCCTTTCCTTTCCTTTCCTTTCCTTTCCTTTCCTTTCCTTTTTCCTTCCTTCCTTCCTTCCTTCCTTCCTTCCTACCTACCTACCTACCTACCTACCTACCTACCTACAAGCAGAGTGGACAGTGAGAGAGAGAGAGACAGAGAGAAAGGTCTTCCTTTTGCCATTGGTTCACCCTCCAATGGCCACCGCGGCTGGCGCGCTGCGCCGGTGCACTGCGCTGATCCGATGGCAGGAGCCAGGTGCTTATCCTGGTCTCCCATGGGGTGCAGGGCCCAAGCACTTGGGCCATCCTCCACTGCACACCCAGGCCACAGCAGAGAGCTGGCCTGGAAGAGGGGCAACCAGGACAGAATCCGGAGCCCCGACCGGGACTAGAACCTGGTGTGCCGGTGCTGAAAGGTGGAGGATTAGCCTATTGAGCCACGGCGCCGCTCCTAGCATTATTCTTTAAAATATTGCTGCTTTTTTTTTTTTTTTAAGAATTTATTTATTTATTTGAGAGGCAGAGTTAGAGAGGGAGAGACAGAGAGAAACGTCTTCCATCCACTGGTTCACTCCTCAAATGGTCACAATGGCCTAAACTGTTCTGATCCAAAGCCACTGGTCACGTAGGTGCAGGGACCCAAGCACTTTGGCCATCTTCTACTGCTTTCCCAAGCCATAAGCAGAGAGCTGGATCAGAAGTGGAGCAGCCCAGACACAAACCGGCACCCATCCAGGATGCCAATGCTGCAGGCCAAGGCTTAGCCCACTATGCCACAGTGCTGGGTCCTCTTTCTTTCTCTCTTTCTCTTTCTCTTTCTCTCCCTCTCCCCCCTTCCTCCTTTTTCCTCCCTCTTTTCTTCTTTCCTCCCTCCCTTCTTTCCTTCTTTATTTCATTTATTTGAAAGAGTTAGTAAAAGGGAGAGAGAGAGAGGGAGGGAGGGAGGGAGAGAGGTATGAGGGAGAGAGGTATCTTCTCTCTGCTGGTTCACCCTCTAAGTGGCTGCAACACCCAGTGCTTGACAGGCTGAAGCCAGGAGCCGGGAACTGCATCCGAGTCTCTTATGTGCGCGGCAGGAGCCCAAGCACCTTGGGCGTTCTCATCTGCCTTCCCGGGGGCACCAGCCTTGAACCTTGCTCATGTGGGAAGCTGGCGGCGTAGGTGGCAGCCCAACCCGCTGTGGCACAATGCCAGCCCCCTAAAATGTTTCTATTATATTTTATAAATACAGACATTTTATATAAAATGTAAGTGAAATGAAACCATATGAAGAAACCCAACATGAAAGTGACTTGCTTTTAGATTTGGGAGAAGCTTTTCTGAGTCATAGGTAGACTCCAGCTGTAATTGGTAGAAAATAATAAAATCCGTTTACCTGGCACTAGTGGTGAATATGCTGTTCAGGAATAGTGATGTGCCAAGTAAGTGGGGGTATAAGTCCTGTAAAGTCTAAAAGTTTTTATTAAATGGTAAGTGGCTGTAAAACTATTTAGATAAGAGGCATACGTCGAGGGTAGCGATGCAGCAGAGCCCCAGTGTGGGAAGCACAGTGTCCTAAGTGCTCCAGGGGCCCTCTGCAGCTCCCCACCCCGCCCCCGCCCCGGGGTACCGCTCTTTCAAGCTATTGCGGTTGTCACCCTCTTGCTTTTTGTGGGCTTATCACACAGGTTTGTCCAAATAATACATTGTTTGGTTTTGCTTGTTTTTGAAGTTATGTAAATGGAATTTGAACTGTATATAAACTGACTAAAATCTCTTTTGAGATTTGCTTTTTTTTTTTTTTTACTTAGTGTTATGTGTGTTTGTGTAGCTGATTCGATATTTTCCCTGCCATAATCGTTGCATGGACCTGTAATTTATGCCCATTTCACTGACTGATGGAGCGCTGCTCCGATCTCTTCTCTACAGACTGTGGTTGCATACTTGCTTATTTCTCTCTACTAGTGTGCACACACAGGAATTCCTTCTGGGTGTACGTTTTGATGGACACCGCCGAGTCTGGGTGTATGTGGGCAGTGTCAGCACGCTGTTCTCTAGCCTGGCTGTGCTTATTTACCTCAGTTCCTGTTCTGCATCCTCGTCAGCTCTTGGCATTGTCAGACCTTACACTTTGAATTCCATTTTCCATGAGCTTTTTTGAAGTAATCTCGTTTTATCCAACACTTTTCCTGGTTCCCAGTGGGTCAACATTTAGAGTACAGATCTTTTAAAATTAGGGTGTTTTTAAAATTTAAAATGTAATATACATTTTGAAAAATCAGAGTAGATTAATAAAGTTAAAAACTGATTGAGGCCAGTGTTGTGGCACAGTGCGGTTAAGCTGCCGCCTGCAATGCTGGCATCCCGTGTGGACACCGGTTCAGGTCTCAGCTGTTCCACTTCTGATCCAGCTCCCTGCTGATGTGCCTGGAAAGCAGAGGAGGATGGCCCAAGCCCTTGGGTCCCTATACCCACGTGGGAGATGTGGATGGCGGTCCACTCTCTGTACCTCTGCCTTTTTTTTTTTTTCTTAGAGGGATTTATTTATTTATTTGAAAGGCAAAGTTACAGAGACAGAGAGGGAGAGACAGAGAAAGAGGTCTTCCATCCACTGATTCACTCCCCAAATAGCCACAAAGGCTGGGGCTGGGCCAGGCCAAACCCAGGAGCTAGGATCTTCCTCTAGGTCTCCCACATGCATGGAAAGGACCCAAGGACTTGGGCCATCTTCTGCTGTATTCCTAGGATATTAGCAGGGAGCTGGATTGGAAGTGGAGCAGCTGGTACTCGAACCAGCACCCATATGGGCTGCTGGCATCAAAGGCAGCTTCACCTGCTACGCCACATCACTGGCCCCAACTCTCCCTTTCAAATAAATAAATCTTAAAAGAGCAAATGAACAACAACAACAACAAAACCCTGAAACTAGAAAATTAAAACCAAACTAACGGTAGAAAGAATAACAATACAATGCTGATTTTTAAGAAAGCCTTAGTGTAGTTTTAAGCTTTAATAATTTCATAAGTATAAATGCTACAAATATTTAAAAATTATTTAAATTTATTTAAATTTCATTTAAATTTAGTTTTGTGAATTTTAAACAACGTTTTATTTAAAAGTTTAGTTTCTACTTGTCAGGATTCAAACCCTGGAAGCAGAACCAGTAGGGGTGTGTTTGTGTGTAAATGCAAATTTGTCTATGGGATACATGTGGAGACACACATTTGCAGTTTATTACCGGGAATTGGTGACGTAATTGTGCAGCCAGCTAAGCAAATCTGTAAGGCTGCCATCCGGGTGGGAAGGCCACATCAAAGGCAGCTGGGCCTCTGCAGCACGGGCCCCAGCTGCTGTTGTCCTCAGAAGAGTTGCAAGTGGGATGGAGCTCCTTGTGCACAGGCGGGAACTGCTCTGCACAGAGAGAATTTTTCTCACTTGGGGGAGAAGCCCAAGTCTTGCTTTTAAGGATGTCCCACTGGTGCAGGCAGGCCCGCCAGGCTGTCCAGAATAGTGTGCCTTCCTTCACTTCTGTGGAGCAAGGGCTTTGATTATATATGCAGAATACCTTCACAGCAACATCTAGACTGTGTTTGATTGACTAACTAGAGACTATAGCCTATCCAAAGTGACACATCAATCACACTGATTGCAGATGGCCTGGAATTTACGTGGATGAATGCTTGGGAATAGCCAAGAAAATTATGAGAAAAAAATAGCAGTGAGTAGGGGCCTTGCCCACTAGTTGTCAAAATAGAGCCATAAATCAATATGGTGTTACCTAGGTTAGTAGAGCAAGGGAGAACCCAGAAATAGGGATTTTAGACTAAGCCCTGAAGTAAGCTAATTTTAATGTAATGAAGAAAAGGATAGATTATCTAATAAATGACTTTGGCAAACCGTCCATACAGAAGAAATTAAAATTGGACCCCATCTTGCATCATATACAATAATAAATTCCAGTTGTATACAAATGGGGATTCTCAATTATAAGTGTACTAAGTTTTTGGGTATGCTGGTTGGCACTTCTGACATTTAGTGTCAAAATCACTCCCACTGGAAAATGCCACATGAAGGATTTAAGTCTAAGCATTTTTGCAATGGGCCAGCGTTGTGGCATAGCCGATGCACCTGGAAAGCAGTGGCAGATGTCCCAGTTCCCTTGGGCCCCTGCACCCACGTGGGAGACCTGGTAGGAGCTCCTGGCTTTGGTCTGGCCCAGCCCTGGTTGTTGGCGGCCATTTGGGGAGTGAAACAGCAAATGGAAGATCTCTCTCTCTCTCTGTGTGTGTGTGTGTAACTCTACCTTTCAAATAAAATATTTTTGAAAGTTTTTTTTGCAAGAAACTCTAGAAGACTTTACAGCCCTGGGGTGAGGGGATCCTAAGCAGCACGAAACTCACCAAGCTGCGAAAGCACGGAGGGCACGGCTGACTGCACTGCTGTGAGATCTTTGTGGGGCAGAAGACACCGCGCTCAGACAGACGCGATCTGCGACGGGGGTTCACATCTGCTGTCAGAGGCACTCGCGAAAACCGAGCCGTGAGAGGCGGCTCGGTAGGAGCGTACGGGCAGTATGTGCAGAGGTTTTCACAGCAGATCCACTGTCCCGCAAACATGAAGAAAGGGCTCGGGTTCACTAGTAGGGAAATGAGATTTAAAGTGATAAAGTCATAATGAAATATCACCTCCTGTAGTAGACTTGCAAAATTCAAAAGAGCAAGGATGTTTGTTGCCATATTTCTTGCCTTTTTGTATCTGTTCTGTTTTTTTGTTGTTACTTTTTTTTTCCACCCATCCTGTGTTGGGTTTCAGTAGCGTCCCCTCTTTTCCTTCGGTTCCTGTGAGTAAAAGGCAGCCACGTTGGGAAAGCGTGGGGTCCGCGGGGGCTGCTGCTCCGTCCCGTGCAGGCACGGCGGTGCCGCTCCTGCAGCAAAGGTGTACGGCACTGATGGCCGCTGGCTCCCGGCACTGATGGCCGCCGGCTCCTGGCACTGATGGCCACTGGCTCCCGGCGCCGCGGTTTGGGAGGCGGTCTTTGCCTGCTGCTTTTTAACAAGCTTTTCTCCTTCAGGAACGTTTGGATGAAGCAAATGCTGCGTTGGACTCAGCGTCAAGACTTACAGAACAGTTAGACCTGAAGGAAGAACAAATTGAAGAACTTAAAAAACAAAGTAGGTTTGGTTTGTTTGCTTTGTTTCCTCTTCTTCCCCTGGTACTAGTGCTGGGTCAGATGTTGCCTTACATCACGCGTTGGCAGCGTTGGGTGAGGCCGACTGCACCGGGGACCTCCGTCTCCATCTCGGTCTCCGTCTCCATGGCCAGTTTGCCTCCACTTGAGTGGGAGCCTAGTGGAGGTGGAGTCCCTGAGTTGGCCTGACGAGTTTGTTTTCCTGGATGTTGCGACCATGCTGTGGTGTTGCTGTCACTCTGTGGACATGATTGAGGCTGATGGGATTGTTTATGGTGGTGGCCTCTTCCCGATCTGACCTAAAGCCGGCTGATTTGTCAGGGCACGAGTCCCATTTGAGTGAATGTCTGGGAATGGCTCCGTCTTTACGGTTGTAGGGGTGCTCTCCACAGACACTCATCCTGTATCTCGTGAGCTCTGTCAGTTCCTGAAGTTGTCCAGCGCTTAGGATTGAGAGCAGAGGTCATTGGGTAGTTCTGAGCACCTTGTTGCATCGACCAGTTGACAAAATGACACTCCTCAGTTAGTCTCTGATTTAGGTGCAACCAAGAAGTTGAAGCTGTTGTGTGACTGCATTTCTTCTTGGAGCCTAGGACTGTGTCTAGATTAGGCACACTAACAAGGCACAGAATTAAGGAGTTAAGAAATACATACCATATAACATAAAATAAAAAGTAGAAATAGGTAAAAATATCAGACATACTGTCGAAAAGTAGAAACATTCCTGGCTGCTCCACTTCTGATCCAGCGCCCTGTTAATATGTCTGGGAAAGCAGTGGACGACGTCCCAATTGCCTGGGCCCCTGCACCCATGTGGGAGAACCGGAAGAAGAATCCTAGCTACTGGCTTCAGATTGGCCCGGCTCTGGCCATTTTAGCCATTTGGGGAATGAATCAATGGATGGAACACGTCTTGCTCTCTCTCCCTCTCTGACTGTGCCTTTCAAATCAATAAATAAATCTTTAAAAAAAGAAAGAAAAACAGCAACTTAGAGCTTGAGAAGAATGTAGGTAAGAAGCACTGATGCGTGGATGCCAAAGGAAGCTGGCCTAAATCCAGAGGAGAGAGGGGCTGGGAGATGGCTAGCAAGACAAGACAAGACAAGACAAGTAGTAGGCGGTTTCTTTCAAGTTAGTTCTGAGGCAGATGGCTGCCCAGCTGAAGGTTCCCTGCTTGGCAGACTTGGCCAGCCTGGGGCCTGGGGTGCAGTGGGATACCTGGAAACGCACAGCAAGGAGCAGTTAGGTGTGGAGTACCTGTCTGCTGCTCGACATAACCCGTCCTGTGCCTCTCAGCCTTCGTTGACTCGCTGCTCATCGGCAGCTCCAGGTGGTACTAGTTCCATCTTATACGTGAAAGGAAGGGACATTTCAGCTCTGGTCTTTTTCGCGTGACCAAAGCTCGTGATTGGTGTATTCTTGGCAGGAAAGTGGCTGTTTGTAGCCTGACTTGTATTCTGTGCCTTGTGTCTCCGTCTCCTTTGAAGAGATGGTGGCACTCTCTGTGTTGTGCCCACATGTCGAAATGGTTGCCTTCACCAAGAGGCAGTTTTTATCGGGAAGCACTGTGTGTAGATCGAAGGCCATGCAGCTGCAGCATTATCGCAGAAGGCAAAAGGGCGGTGCAAGGGAGAAGCGTGGGCACCTGAAGCAGGTTAGCAAAGGAGTTGCTGTCCCAGGGTTGGACCGGCTAAAGAGGGTGGAAAAGCTTAGTTCTGAACCAGCCCTTGGTCTGTGTTAGCTCAGCGTGTGTGTGTCACACTGCTGTAACATCTGAGGCCACAAGGAGACAGTGAAGAAGTTCTATGCAGTAGTGGATTTTCTTCATTATATCCAGTGAGGCTTAGGTGGTCTAGGTTCCTATTCATGTAAAAGAAAAATTGCAGTTAGTATTTATCATAAATGTATAGAAACACAAATCCATCTGGAGGAGTCAGAATTGCTACAGAAAAATCTCAAATTATGCTTGTACAACTGGTGTTTGAAAGAGCAGGCAAGAAGCCAGTGCTGCACAGACAGGAAGGGGAATGAGGAGACAGTTGGTTCTGTTATGGCTTTAAGTCATTCTTGCCATTTACAGCTCCTCTTGACAATCCGTTTTCTTATGTTACCTAAGTGCTTCGTATCGCTTTTTTATCTCTAAACACAAGTGTGATTTTATTTTCTCAAAGCTACACTCTGGATTTGATAATATAAGCAAAAGCATGATTGGCCTGCTTGTTTCAAAAGAATCACTGTGTATTTTCTTTCCTGGATCATTAAATGCTTTAAATGTTGATTGATGTTGTAATACTGTACTTTATTTTTAACACAAAACTTGGCCAGACAGCAAAAATATTTGCCAGGAGAAACAATTTTGAAAAAGACAGATTGGCTTTTGTTGCAAGAAAGTACATAGAGATTTAAGTTGTAGAGGCAAAGTATTGTTTTATTTCTCAGCGTCTGTAGACTAATGATTAGTTGATATGCTGTTTCAACATTTTAACAATATTAGGAAACACTTTAAAAAGTGGTATTTTATTCAAAATGGTTGATTATGTCACTGCTACCAGAGAAGAGATGATTCAGATTGGTCAGACTTAGGAAGAGAGAACTACTGTGGTGACACCAGTATTAAAATGGAAGATTGTCGATGATTTCAATCTTTCTGTGTAATTTTTAGTGACATATCTGTGCAGCTGTGGTTGTGAATTAAGGGTATTTACAGATCTTGTCTTGAAAGTACAAAGATAGATGCCTTGTCATGCTTCAAGTTCTTAATGAGAAGCAGCTCTCTGGCTTCATGTCAGAAGCTATGTGATACACTAGGTAGGATCCTTGTTTTTTTTGGTCTCATTTTTTTTTCTTTAAGATTTATTTTATTTATTTGAAAGGCGGAGATCTTCCATCTACTGGTTCATTCCCCAAATGGCCGAGCTGGGCCAAGATGAAGCCAGGAGCCAGGAGCTTCCTCCAGGTCTCCCATTTGGATGCAGGGGCCCAAGCACTTGGGCCATCTTTCACTGTTTTCCCAGACACATTAGTAGGGAGCTGGATCTGAAGTGGAGCAGCTGGGACTTGAACCAGTGCCCATATGGGATGTCAGCATTGCAGGTGGCAGCTTAACTCATTATGCCACAATGCTGGCCCCCTTTCTTTTTATTTTATTTGAAAGGCGGAGAGACAGAGAGCTCTTGCATCCACTGCTACACTCTCCAAATGCCCAACTGCAGTCAGGCTGGTCCAGGCGGAAGCCAGGAACCTGGAACTGAATCTGGGTCTCACTCGAGCAGTTGAGCTGTCATCTGCCAGCTCTCAGAGTGCACATTAGCAGGAATCTGGATCAGAAGCAGAGCTGAACTCAAAGCTGGGAACTCCAGTTAGGGATAGCGTCCCAAGCAGAGTCTTAACCACTGTGCCAAGCACTCCCCCATAGGATTTCTTTTGCAGGGAGCTTAGCTAAGGAAATGACATATAGCATAGACGTATCACATGTTAGTAATTTAAGACAGTGTATATCTAGTTCCACTAGAATGCCATTAAGTTGTCAGGTGGTGTTTAATGGAGAAGAGGAACTTGAGAGGAGCCTCATCTCAGAAATACTAAAAACTGTTAAAGACTCTCCCCACCGTGGGCAAGTGACAGTGGCAACAAACCAGTCGTAGGTCCTGTAGGTGCTGTAGTGGATCATCCTGGCCAGTAGAGGGAGTACTGCTGTCCTTCCATTTAGAAATTCAGTATGCCAGCATTCTACCACAAACGCAGGCACATTACTCCCCGTGCCATCCTGTATTTTACTGCCTTTTCAAACTTAATGCACTAGTCTATGGAGCAGACAGGATAATGTCTTTCATTAGCTGTTTTGAGTTATCAGAGTTTAGAATTTTTATGGAATGGTTATTGATGAGAAAATAGGTACCTGCTTAAGCCTAGACTGAAGCTGAACCATGAAAAGAAGTTTCTTGGGGCTGGTACTGTGTTGTAGTAGGCTAATCCTTCACCTGCGGTGCCAGCGTCCCACATGGGCACCAGTTCTAGTCCCAGATGCTCCTTTTCCAATCCAGCTCTCTTCTTATGGCCTAGGAAAGCGGTGGAAGATGGCCCAAGTCTTTGGGCCCCTGCACCCATGTGGGAGACCCGAAAGAAGCTCCTGGCTCCTGGCTTTGGATTGGCGCAGCTCTGGCCATTGCAGCCATTTGGGGAGTGAACCAGTGTATGGAAGACCTTTTTCTCTGTCTCTCCCTTTGTCTGTGACCCTGCCTCTCAAATAAATAAATGAATCTTAAAAAAAAAAAAAAGATTTATTAAAAAAAAGTTTCTTGCTATATATGTAGCCAAATTTGACAGTTTCCTTTTTTCTTTAGATTTATTTATTTATTTGAAAGGCAGAGTTACACAGAGAGAGAGAGAGAGAACGAAACAGAGAGCTTCCATTTGATGGTTCACTCCCCAAGTGGCTGCAATGGCCAGATGAGTAGCCCAGAGCTTTTTCCAGGTGTCAGGGGCTCAAGCACATGGGTCATCTTTCACTTCTTTCCCAGGTGCATTAGCAGGGAGTTGGATTGAAAGTGGAGCATCCAGGATTCGAATTGGCACCCGCGGGGGATGCTGGCATTGTAGGTGGCAGCTCTACCCACTACACCAATTGCTGGGCCCCAGTTTTTCTTCTTTCACTTCTTGTTTTCTACTGTTATCCTTGAGATAAATTTCTGCTTAAATGAAAAGTATTTGATAAATTGAAAGAAAAAGCACAAAATAGTTGTTGCTTCAACCACTCTTAGTCAAAAGGGTGGTGAATTTTATGATACGCAAAGAAAAATAAGTTTTCATAAGGAATACAGATTTCGTTGTAGCATTGAGAAAGTCTCTTAGTCTGCAGGTTTATACCTGTGTTTTAAGGGGCCTTATAACTTATTTTTTGTAAGAAGACTTAGTGATTGCTCTTTTTGAAAATCTGGTTGAGAATGGAAAATTTCCTTAGAGTAGTTCTTTTAAAAACAACAT